TGTGGTGGGAAGCTGGCAGGTCCGTGCCCTGATTTTCACTCCCAAAACTCTGGTGGGCTCATAGCCTGCAATAAACCAAAAAAGAGCTGGCTGGAAATCAAATTCATTTTTTCCCCAAAATGTTAAATGATGCACACACACTAAACTTTTGCAAAGATGAATAGCTGCTTCTGGAGTTTTCTAGCTAGCAGTTCATCAGGGGTATGGCTATCATATATGGGCGTATGTGTGCAAGCAAAATGAAGACAAGAATTCTACCTGAAAGAGATTTCCTTTCTTCCCCAAATTTCTAGCATTGCAGAGAGTGAGACAGAATTCTTCTACATGCTGCATTTGCATTGCTTTGCTCACTTGGCCTTCTACTTTAATTTGGATATCTAAAGCCATTTCTGAAGTTTTAGTTGATTGCAATGCCATAGATTTGGATTTTTATGGGAAGAGGAGGGAGTCTTATTTGGGGTCAATAACCTCATTCCTCTCTCCCTGGGCAAAGAGGACCTTTTTTCATGTCAGGAGCGACTCAAGAAACTGCAAGTCGCTTCTGGTGTGAGAGAATTGGCTGTCTGCAGGAATGTTGCCTAGGGGACGCACAGATGTTTTACCATCCTGTGGGAGGCTTCTCTGATGTACCCGCATGGGAAGCTGGAGATGACTGATGAGAGCTCACCCCGCTCCCAGGAGCCCCTGGTGGCGCAATGGGTTAAACCCCTGTGCCAGCAGGACTGAAGACCGACAGGTTGCAGGTTTGAATCCGGGGAGAGGCAGATGAGCTCCCTCTATCAGCTCCAGCTCCTCATGCGGGGACATGAGAGAAGCCTCCCACAAGGATGATAAAAACATCAAATCATCCAGGCGTCCCCTGGGCAACGTCTTTGCAGACGGCCAATTCTCTCAAACCAGAAGCGACTTGCAGTTTCTCAAGTTGCTTCTGACACAATTTAAAAAAAACCCTCTCCCTGGGTTCAAACTGCTGACCTTTAGGTCAGCAGTTCAGCCGTCACAAGGGTTTAACCCATTGTGCCACCAGGGGCTCCAAAGAGGAGCTAAATGCTGCAAAATAGCCTTAAACAAGCATGGCTCCAAACCTGCACTTAGCTCACCCCCTGATGTAAATAGTCAGAAATGATACCCAAAAAGTAAAACACAATCGAACTTTCCTTAATTGTTTCTTGACACACTGAACATCATATATACATTCTTTGAGTCCCCTTCCCCCTTTTTTCTTTTTGCAAAAGATAGTTTTTGAAAAGCTGCAGGTAATGTTATGCAGCTAGAATTGTCTGAATACAGTATGTTGTGAGGTTTCCGTTCCACTAAGACTTGTTGAGAAGAAGAGGTTGCAGCAAACATTGCTTTCGAGTTCTGGAATGAAGCCTACCAGAATTCCTCCCTAGTTCATCCCCTCCCTTGTCCCCAGTAATTATTGCTCCACTGTTGTCTGTTAACTGGAAAAATGCTCAGTATGTGCTTATGTGCACTTTCTGTTCCTATTTTATGGAAAGCCCTGTCCCCTTCCTACATTCAGCAGAATGCTGTGCTATTCCAAAACTGAAGTACCAACAGCCAGTCTACATAAAATCTCTGTTCACTGGAATGTCTTTAAAAACTGGTAACTTCAGTTTATCCTGTATTTGCTGATGTGATGTGAGGCAGCTTCCCAGAGAAGCAGAGATGGGCTGGAAAAGGTTCAACAAGATCTAATATTCCACATTCCCCTGGTTGCTATTTGTTATTTTTAGATGACAAAAGCTGCTTTGTTTGGAAGCACTGTTTTTAACCTCCTTGGTCTGTCTACTTTGCACCACCAGTATACTTTGAACTATGCTCCTTCATGGGATTTCCTTTAAAATAAATTATGGCCGTTGTAAACAACTTTCAATCTGCACTGAAATGTAAGAAAGCATAAACAGTAAGTTGCACATTTAGAATTGGACTTTATTGGAAAGATTTCCGGACTCTTGGCATAAAATATACTACACTTAGAATTTGTGAAAGCTACAAATGCAAAACAAAACAAAAGAGTAATTTTTGTCCTCCTTTTGCACATAAACGTAATTAAAATGGAGGTGTGGAGCAGCTGCAGCCACGTGGAAATTTCTAGTCTTTCACAATAATTACATGAGGAGCAGAATGATCCTTTCCCAACCTGGGCGTAGGGTGCGGATGGATGGTTTGTTCTGCTTCACTAATCCCAGGCCAGACTACAACCTTGTAATTGGATCTCTGTACAACATGCGCCTTTTTTTTTTTTTTTTGTGATGCAGAGCCTGTTGTTCATTCAAGAGCCAGTTCCTGGAGCCTTCAAAGTTGCCCGATGTTTGTGTCTGTTGAATGACTTTTCTCTCTCTACATGCCAATACAAGGCTTCAGACTTAAACCACAAGCTGTTGCTGCTTAATCCTGAGAATGTTTGTGCAGAAAGTTGCTCCGAAGGCAGCTTTCACAAGCTGCCAAGAACTGTTGCCTTAAGAATATACCCATAATTGCCGTCTGCCCAAGAAATGCCTCCTTTTGTAAAGAAGAGGAGGTCAGTGGAGGTGAGAGAGCAGACAGGCACCTAGGGCAGCTTAAGCAATTACTAGTAATGATAAAACTATTCAGGATATTCCATTGTTGTTGTGTTCCTTCGAGTCTTCTCAGTTTATTGTCATCACAAGATGAACCTGTCATATATTTGGTTTTTGTTGTTGTTGTAATATTTGTTCAAAAACGGGTTGCCTATCCATTCCTCTTGAGACTGTGACTTTTCTGTGGTCATCAACAGGTTTCCATGGTCAAGTAGAGTTTCATACCCTTGTTGCCAGTGTCTTAGGTCATTGTATCTCCTGAAAAATTCTCCATCAAAATGTCAGCTTTGTTCATAGCTAAGAGAATATCCAGACTGATCAAACAGTCTCAGATTTTGTTGCTGTTCTTTCTGATCGTATTCAGGGTGAGAATAAACTCAGTTGTGGAGTTGATATAAAAAGTCATTGATCCTATGGAGAACTAACAGTATCTATTTTGAGATTATCAAAATGTGTATGGATCTCCCAACTAAAACAGGAAAGAACAGGAATGAAACCTTGGATTTTTTAACAATCTATTGTCGAAGGCTTTCATGGCCAGAATCACTGGATTGTTGTAGGTTTTTCAGACTGTGTGACCATGATCTATAGGGCGAGGCAGCATAACTTCCTTTTTTCAAAACTTAATAAAACCCATTGTATGAATCAGATTTTTTTTATAATGTAGGCGCATACCTAAAGTTTTGTTTTATGTAGTTTTGAAAATCAAATTAGGTAGGTGACGTCCCCCATTCTCCATACACTGTGTAAACCGATTTCTGGTGTTTGTCATGACTCTTGCCAGCATAGCAGGCGTTATGTTGGTAATTTCTTCCTGGATGTTGGTCTTCAAATCTTGTAGGGTCCTTGGAGGGTTCACATAAACACAGGATTTCACAAAACCCCATAGAAAAAAATCACAAGGGGCCAAATCTGGAGAGCGGGCCGGCCACTCCAAATCCACTCGAAAAGTAGGCCTGAACAGGCAAAAACACGCTCCTCACTGTTCCAACGCATGATGGCGACTGAACTGTGTCGGGACAAAACTTTATACTCCTGCCTCTCGAACGAGACCACTAGCGCTCTGCAACGTCTTTAACCGACTGAATGGCGTGCATTTTAAAAAACAGTTTTTAGGCATGACTTGTTACTGCCTGGGAGAATCCTTTGTTGAGAGGTGATTAGCTGTCCCTGATTGTTTCTTGTCTGGAGTTCCCCAGTCTGGAGTTTGAGTGTTGATCTTTATTTACAGTTATAATTTTAGAGTTTTTTAATACAGGTAGCCAGATTTTGTTCAATTTCATGGTTTCTTCCTTTCTGTTGAAATTGCCCACATGCTTGTGGATTTTATTTATTTATTTATTTCGTGTACTTCTACCCCGCTCTTCTCAACTTCTGAGGGGGGACTCACGGCGGCTTACAAAAAGGCACAATTCGATGCCTACACAATAATCCAAAAAAGTATAAAAACAGCAGTTAAACAGTTATAACAATTAAAACAATCAATATATATTGATTGTTCAGTGGCTTCTCTGTGTAGCCTGACATGGTAGTTGTTAGAGTGAAAATGAACAAAATCTGGCTACCAGTATTGAAAAAAACTTCTAAAATTATAGCACACTTCCATTATCCAAAGACCTAGAACATCTTTGGCAATGCCAAGTCCTCATGAGCACAACTAAAGTAGCCTTAGTTAAAACTCTCTCAAACCTGTAAGCGATTAACTGCCCCCATATTATGTTGTTTTTGTAAGACGTTCTGAAAAGTGCCTGTGATGCAGCTCTGAACACCTGAAGCGAAGTGCACTTTGTGGGTACTAAGGGGGAAAATATTGCCGCTGCTTTGTACACAAGGAGTGCTTCAGCAATGAGAATCCAGTGGCTTGTGTTGAATTGCTGCTTCGTGCACCTGGCCCTGATTTGGTGATGTGGGCCTCAAGTGCCCAATTCCCTGCCTCAATGAACAACCCTTTGTGGCGTCTGTCAGAATTCTGGCAAATCACCCGCTTATGCAACATCTGCTAACAACAGCAAAAACCTTCGCCTTCCTGACAGGGCTGGAAAAATCCTAGAAACCGAAGGCTGGCACTAGAGATTTGGAATTGTTTGTGTGTGTGTGTGTTTTAAAGCATCCCTTCTTCTAAGATAAAAGTTAAAAGTAGTACTTAATTTATTTAACACCAGTCTTGCAATTATATTTCAGAACATGGCAAGATTTCCTTTAGGACCACCACTCTTAGAATGTCGGCTAGGGGATTCTGGGAGTGGTAGTCCTGACTTTTCCTGGTTGTATTATGTTTGTGCACCTTTAAGTGTCATTTTCACTCATCTTACTGTTGTCTCTATAAGATGAGTGAAAATGGGATTTTCAGGTCTGTACTCTTGAAATGCTTTGGCCTGAATGAAATGGACATGTAGCTATTGATTTCATTCTTCCTTTCCATCTCCATTTCAGCTCAAAATGTGACGGTAGAAGAAATTCTCACTGCCTACAAGCAGGCCTGTCAGAAATTAAACTGCAAACAGATACCCAAACTCCTGAAGCAGATCCAGGTACGTGCATTCCCTTCAGTGTACAGGACAAACATTGATCAGATCTGGCTGTGAAAACAAGAAGGTGGGTTGTCAGAAATGCCACAAAGAGCTGGTTGCAGCTGGAACTGAAGGCAGCAGTGATCAAACAAAGGCTGGCTCAAAAGCCATGGTCTTCTCTTGGGACTGAATCACAGGCCTCCATTGGGGGTTATTTTGGTTGGGTTTAGCAAATGAGAAATAGGCAAAACTGTCTTCTATTTTGGGTCAAGACACTGCTCTATCTATCTTGGTGTTGTCCTTGCTGGCAGACAGGACAGCACTCCTGTTGGTTCTAGATCTTCCTAGATCTACTTGGTTATCCCCTCCACCTGTGCTAGGATTCAACCTAGGATTATTTACCCGTGTACCATATGCTCTTCCATGATAGTGCCCCCCGCCTCAAATCCCATTACATTCACTTGAGTCAGGTCTTTGTATTGTTCCTAAAGCAGTTTTGTCCACTTGAGAAAAAATGGTGGAACAGACCTTAGAAACAGGATGAGCTACTAGATGGGGATTTTTTAAAACTCCAGGGCTAAATTCAGTTTCAAAGATAATCTTGGGGGTAAGGTAAAGGGTTTCCCCTTACATTAAGTCCAGTTGTGTCCGACTCTGGGGGTTGGTGCTCATCTCCATTTCTAAACTGAAGAGCTGGCGTTGTCCATAGACTCCTCCAAGGTCATGTGGCCAGCATGACTGCAATGAGCTCTGTTTCCCTCCCGCTGGAGCGGTACTTATTGATCTACTCACACTTGCATGTTTTCAAACTGCTAGATTAGCAGAAGCTGGGGCTAATAGCATGAGCTCACGCCACTCCCCGAATTCGAACCTGCGACCTTTCAGTCAACACGTTCAGCATCTCTATGCTTTAACCCACTGCGCCACTGGGGGCTCCTCTCTTGGGGGACCACACACTAATTATATGTTGGGACTACAATCACTAATATGCTTGAGATTGCAGTTTTTGCAGGCAGTACCTAAACCTTGGGAGAAGCATTTCAAAATATAAGAATGGGAAGGTCTGTGCTTTTTGTTCTAGAGAACTAATTCCTAGGCACTTATCAAAAGGGAGTGTGATCAGTATTTTCTTAGAAGAATGCTATATGCCTTGCATCTGGTGCAAGGAGAAATAACAGATCTTTTATTTAGAGTAATGAAGTGTTTTTGTGTTCTATATTGCACTTTTATTGCCATGTAAGCCACCCCGAGTTCCTTCTGGAAGATGGTGGCGGGATATAAATAAAGCTATTATTATTATTATTATTATTATTATTATTATTATTATTATTAGTTCATTTTACTGACACAAAAACACAGCATGTCACAGCAAACAAGATATATATGCTGGATTTTGTATCACTTCTAATTTTTCACAAATCGAACACTTCCCAATCAGCTGTTGTTGTTGTTGATGTTGTTGTTGTTTTTGTTGTTGTTAGAATTATGGCTTCCTTCTGTTAGATTCAAACTTTCAAACTGAGACTGAAACAATTAGTGCTAAATGAAAACATCTCCTTCCCTTTTCATGATCCCCACAAGTTTGGAAGGCTGCTGTTGACAGGGGGCTAAACTCACCAACTCTCCTGTTGGGTTTCCGGGCCCTATATCTATTACCCTAGAATGCCTGAATCAATGCTATAGATGTAGCTTCATTCCAGGCATCCTGGGAAACAAATACAGCAATTGCAAGTCTGGTAAGAGCAGAAGTGAGCTTTTATGTCCCTCCTTCACCTCAAAATGCACAGCTATTCCTTTGGGAATGTGTCGTTCCATATGAAAAGAAAGCACTGTCCCAAACAGAATCATAGTGCAGATTAATTTCTAAAAATTGAATCTAGAACTGAGAATGATCTACTCCAGGGGAGTCAGCCATGTTTGCGGGTCTTCCTGAAACTAGACTTTGAGATAATTCAGGATCTAGGATGGTTCCTGAATAATGTTTTGAATCAGAGTGAAAGTTAGATGTCTCTTGCCATGTTTAGGTCTTTGGAAACATGGAGATTAATAAACTGTTTTCTTTGCTTCCCTATCTTAAACCAATTCTTTTCTCTGTGTACTAAACTTCTGCTCTGTTACAGGAATTTAAGGACCTGACACCCAGGATAGATTGCCTGGATCTGAAAGGTAGGTTCCCAAGCCTCCTCCTGATATAATGGAGATTATAATTTCTTGCCTCCTGTGGGTATTCATCTCTGGGTGTGATCTCCCAAATTTCTTTCTCAGGATTTTATTCCATTTATCTGTATTTGAAAATAATCACCTTTGGGAACAACAAACTGTGGTGTGGGGATTGAATGATTAGGGTTGCTTATTCTAGAACTATTTAAGACATAGTATGCAAATTGGCGAACACAGAGGTCTTGTTTTGGCTGGTGAGATTGTGAAATACGGTGCGCCAAAAGCTGGCACAGACTTTTTGCCAATCTGCCAGTATTCCTCCCTCCATCTTTTCATTCTTTTTTCTGGTTCCTGATTTAATTTTTTTTAAAAAGCTTGCAAATTTTTGGAAGCACACCAGATTGTGTAACCATGTTGGCACATGCAAACAATCACATTGCAGACGTAGATACAATCTTTGCAACGTGAGGCAGGCAAACACACACACAACCTTGATTGGAGCTACGTGGAGTCATTTGACGTGGAGAAGAGAAGACTGGGAGGTGAACATGATAGCCATCTTTAAATATTTGAAGGGGTGTCTTGTAGAAGATGAAATGAGCTTGTTTTCTGTCTCTGGATGATAGTAGACAGGGAATCCCCTGACAGAGATTGGATGAAATCCTGTTTAGGGGTACTTTAGTTGTGTCTCACTGCATAGCAATTAATTGGTTAAGAAGGCCACAACTTTTTCAAAGTCGATGATGCTATACCAGGGATATGCAAACTTGGATCCCCCCCCCCCCCCCCCCCGGTGTTTTGGACTTCAACTCCCACAATTCCTAACAGCCTCAGGTCTCTTCCTTTCCCCCCTCAGTCGTTTAAGCGGAAAGGGCCTGAGGCTGTTAGGAATTGTGGGAGTTGAAGTCCAAAACACCTGGAGGGCCCAAGTCTGCCTATGCCTGTTCTATGCCATAACTGTTGTTTCATAACTGCAAACTCCCTCCTTCCTTAAAAAACACATCAGTGGACATCCTGTTTGTGTCGCAGAGACAGGTTGCTGACTTCAGGGTGGGTATGTGTACTGACTTCGCTTGTAAAGTCTCAGTTGCCAAAGAGAGCATGGATCTAGTGGGTAGGGCAGACAAATTGCCAGAGCCTCAGGCCTGGGAGGGTGGCGACTCCATTGGAGCAGAAAAGCAGGAGAGTGCACATGACAGCTGAGCAGATGGTATGTGATGGGGCAGGAGGAGGAGAACCAGCAGCCGCTTCAGGTTATTTGGCTCTGTGACAGCAATGGAGGCTAGACCTCTAAACTTTCTTCATCTCCATTATATTTATTTATTTATTTATTGTGCTTCTACCCAGCTCTTCTCACCCTGAAGGGGACTCAGAGTGGCTTTAGTGCCACATTGCAAACACAGTGTCTAAATACATCATATAAATACGTACATCAATAAATACATAAATCAAATAAATACAATAACACTGTTAAAACTGTTAAAAACATAATCCTAATTGTACAGTTAGAAATCTGTGTTGTAGTACAGGAAAAATGAGATTTAAGTTCGCTTGTTCTGTATATTTCAAGAAAATCATAGAATCATAGAGTTGGAGGAGACCTCATGGGCCATCCAGTCCAACCCCATTCTGCCAAGAAGCAGGAAAATCGCATTCAAAGCACCCCCAACAGATGACCATCCAGCCTCTGTTTAAAAGCCTCCAAAAAAGAAGCCTCCACCACACTCCATGGCAGAGAGTTCCACTGCTGAACAGCTCTCAATGTTCAAGTGGAATCTCCCTTCTTCTAGTTTGAAGCCATTGTTCTATGCCCTAGTCTCCAGGGCAGCAGAAAACAAGCTTGCTCCCTCCTCTCTATGATTTCCCCTCATATATTTATTCATGGCTATCATGTCTCCTCTCAGCCTTCTCTTCTTCGGGATAAACATGCCCAGCTCTTTAAGCTGCACCTCATAGGGCTTGTTTTCCAGACCTTTGATCATTTTAGTTCAGGTGGAATCTCCTTTCCTGTTCTTTGAAGCATCCTAGTCTCCAGGGCAGCAGAAAACAAGCTTTCTCCCTCCTCCCTATGACTTCCTCTCATATATTTATACATTCTATTTTCTTTTTTTCATTTCCCAAAATATTCATGCTGACTGGGGGATTCTGGGAGACTTAATCCAAAAAAGTATGTTTCTAAGTTCTTGCAAACTTAACATTTATACTTTTATTTTTCCAGGGGAGAAGTTGGATTACAAGGCTTGTGAGGCCCTGGAAGAGATATTTAAACGCCTCCAGTTCAAAATAGTAGATTTGGAGCAAACGAACCTAGATGAAGACGTATGTAACATATGTACCTGTATAATAAACATTTATGTCCCTGGCCCATGTCCTTCTGAATATTTCACGTGACACCCGAAAGAATCCCATACTACCATATACAGTTTAGCCTTGAGACTTTGATTGTAAAGAGCTTTCGTTGTAAGGCTGGATGCGGGACAGGGCTCTGAATTTACTTACAATATAAGTAAGTCAGCTTCAAACTCTATATTGTTTATATCCCACAAAAAAATGTAATTCATCTCATTTGTGGCAGTACAGAAGGATCTAGCTGCCTCTTCATACAAATTATGTCAATCTTGCCTAAATATAACATTATGATTTGGTACGTTCTATCAACAGGTTCATTGAGGACGGTAGACCCAACCTTACAAAATAATGTTTTTTGGTTTTGTTTTGATGTGGTGAAAAGCTGCCCTGAGTTGTTGCTTTGCTTTGCCTTACCTTGCCTTGCCTTACTGGTTTTTCAGGGCCAGGACTAGTTATTCCATTGCCTGGGGCCATTTCCCAATTCTGTTTTCTCCTTACCTGAATCTGGCAGCTCATAAATGAAATAAAGGAATCATCTGGAATATCTCATTTTAATAGTTTCTGTTACACAGTAATATGAAACACTTGAATGGGAAAAGCAATTAAGAACTGACTTAATAAAATCTAGGTATTTCTGCTTTATAATGGGTGGTACCTCTATGAATCATTCCGTTATCAAATTAGAATTATGTAAATTTTAGGTTAAGCTAATATTTTAATGGAAACCATAATTTCATTTTATATCATCATATAAATGAAAATGCATACATACAGAAATAAGTTAGTAAAGACAAACCCAGCTCTCAAAAGTACACAAACATCTGGGACAAGATTGATGTGCTTACATACATAAAACAAACTTCTCAGCTGGAATAAGAACAAGAATTATTACAGTTCTTTTAAAAGATGTAACCTTTCAGTCTTTGCAGCTATCTAGATTCTTCAACTCAGTGCAGAATGGGTTGTTGTGAGTTTTCTGGGCTGTGTAGTTATGTTTCAGAAGCATTCTCTCCTGACGTTTCACCCACATCTATGGTAGGCATTCTCAGAGGTTGTCATGTCTGTTGGAAACTTGGCAAGTGGGGTTTATATATCTGAGGAATAATATCCAGGGTGGGAGAAAGAACTCTTGTCTGTTGTAGGCAGATGTGAATGTTGCAGCTTCATTGGCTGCCGATAAGTTGCCGAGCCAAATTCAAGGTGCAGGTCATCACCTATAAAGCCCTAAACGGTTCGGGCCCCGCCTATCTCCGCGATCGCATCTCCTCCTATGAACTGGCGCGAGCTTTAAGATCTTCTGGGGAGGCCCTCCTCTCGGTCCCACTACCATCTCAAGCGCGGTTGATGGGGATGAGAGAGAGGGCTTTCTCGGTGGTGGCCCCCCGTCTCTGGAACGCCCTTCCAAGGGAAATAAGGCAGGCCCCATCCCTCCCCTCCTTTCGTAAGAGCTTGAAGACCTGGTGGTTTCAATAAGCCTTTGAAAATGACCAGTTCTAACTCAGGCCAACACATTGTCTAATACGGCCTTATTCTTCCTACCAGTTACCCAGATTAATTGCCTTGAACAGGCAGAATTACTTTTAATATATGTGTGTTATGGTGACAATTTTTATGTTTATATTTTGTTTGTTAATCATATGGTTATGTTGTTTTTACTCTGTATGTTTTGTGATATTACTTGGGGAGATGGAGCGGTATATAAATAAAGTATTATTATTATTATTAATTGACCACCTTGATTAGCACTGAATGGCCTTGTAACTGCAAAACCTGGCTATGTCCTGCCTGGGGGAATCCTTTGTTGGGAGATGTTAACTGGCCTGATTGTTTCTTGTCTCGAATTCCCCTGTTTTTTTAGTGTTGCTCTTTATTTATTGTCCTGATTTTAGAGGTTTTTTTTATACATATCTCAGTAAACACAGTGCAGACCAGGCTCAATAAGGAGTTGTGAGGGCAGTGTTTTGGTTGGTGTGAACCGGTTTTGTGCATATCTCTCTGGGATCATTTATTGGCAGATAATTCTAAGTATCACTTTCTAAACTACAAATCTCAGAAAGTATGGAATCAGGATGCTATAACTGTGCATTGTGCCCCATCAGACAGGGCAGGATATGCAGAGTTTGAGCAGTATGCCTTGAGAAAGAGGAGACTTGCTTTTGGTTAACTGTCCTGCCAATCTTTCTTCACATCAAAGAGAACTTGCACATAATTCCACGTGGACATTTTACGCCTGACCTAAATAAAGTGTTATGTCTTTTGTCAGTAGACTTCTGCCTTGATGTTGATGTTTTTTCTGTCTCCATCCCCCTCTTTTGTCTTTGCCAGGGTGCCTCAGCACTGTTTGATATGATTGAATACTATGAGTCAGCCACACACCTCAACATTTCCTTTAACAAACACATTGGCACTCGAGGTTGGCAAGCTGCTGCGCACATGATGAGGAAGGTTTGTATTGAAATGTCCCACCATCTTTAAGTGCATTGCTTGTAGACGGCATAGGAGAAAATGAATTAGAGCTGCAACTTCCATGCTTAGCCCAAGCTTTATTATCAAACTACTATCACCAGTGCCAGGCAATGCTGCAAAAGGCCTTAAATTCCCTTTTTTCTACAGAATATTTTTAGGAAGCGGGAAAGGGAAGCTCTTTGTTTTAAAGCAGAGATTTGGCAGGTTCTCCACAATTTCATGGGCCTAGTGAGCAGCAAATCTACCCACACACACACAACACACACACTCGTTGTCTGGCCTGGTGAGAGGAATGCAGACTCATTTGCGCCGCTCTGTCTGTTGCAGACATCGGGACCCCAGTGGGACCCAGCCCCCTTGCCGGGAGGATAAACCTCTTTGCCATTCTCTGACCATTCAGGAATTTAGTAATCTCTGGCGTTAACAAGCTTATTGCTCTTGCTTTTTTCTAGCTGTTGGTGAAATATTTTTCCCTTCCACCAGTGAAAAGTTAGTCCCGGCCAAGAGGAATTGTGGGGTGAGGGCTAATCCTGCAAATGCTATTCTTTCTGTTGCACGGATTTGGGCCAGCTTGAGAATGCGTGGAAATATATATATATCTACCTCAAATGAACATTCCCACAACCTGGCTAGATATTTCTTTCATTTGTTTTTGTGGATCTGAACACTTGAGATTTGAGATGAGGTTTGCTTTTCCTGCTTTCAAGTAATTTCCAAGTTATGATGGTTTTCTTGGAAAGACTTATTCTGAGAAGAATTGCCACTGTTGACTTCTCCCAAAATAATTTGACCATGGTCACCTGGTATGTTTATACGTCCAAGTTGGGGATTTGAGCCTTGGTCTCCTGAAGCCCTAGTCCAACACTCCATTATGCTGGCTCACAGATCTCTCTGTATAAGGCAGTGGTTCACAACCTGTGGTCCCCCAGATGTTTTGGCCTTCAACTCCCAGAAATCCTAACAGAAAGTAAACTGGCTGGGATTTCTGGGAGTTCTAGGCCAAAACACCTGGGGACCTACAGGCTGAGAACCACTGGTAGAAGGCTACCTTGAAATGAGTGAGATTATTGGGCCTGTTACTGTCAATTCTGACTAGTCTGGCACATCTGGAGGATCTGTGGCAGGAGTCCTTGGTAGACCTGTACTTTGAGATATCAGGAAATGAGCCTAGGACTGTGTGTTTACAGAGCAGATGCCCCACAATGGAACTGTCTCCAAGACCATTGGAGAACTTGTTTCTGCCTGGTGCAAGTCTAACACAGGTCAGTAGTTTCAGGAAAACTATTTTGAGATGAAACTAAAAGGGCGTCCTCTTCCCCCTTTGTCACAGGTTTTCAAATTTTGACTCACTGCCCTATCTGTTAGTGTAGATCCATCTCACCATGAGTGGGTGGAGATGGGTGAAGCTCAGTTCTTAGACACTGTCAGACTGTAGCTCTCATCAGCCCTAGACAGTGCAGCTAACAATGAAGCCCAGTACCAGTTACACTGCCAACAATATAGGGAGGACTCCACTGCCACATTGTACACCTCTGCTTTAGGAACGTCCTAATAATCCAGTGGAAGCCAGTGTTGTGTAGTGGCTTGAGTGTGGGACCAGTTCTCTGGGAGAACAGTGTTCAGATATCCATTCAGCCATAGAAAAACACTTACGGGGCTCTGAACAGGTTGCACTCCTTTAGTCTAAGACAGCATTGCTCAACCTGGGGGTTGGGACCCCTGGGGAGGTCACAAAGGGGGTGTCACAGGGGGTCACCAAAGACTATCAAAAACATAATAATTTTTGTTGGTCATGGGGGTTCTGTGTGGGAAGTTTGGCCCAATTTTATCATTGGTGGGGTTCAGAATGATCCTTGATTGTAGGTGAACTATAAATCTCAGCAACTACTATTCCCAAATGTCAAGGTTTATTTTCCCCAAAGCCCACCAGTGTTCACATTTGGGCATATTGAGTATTTGTGCCAAGTTTGGTCCAGATCCATCATTGTTTGAGTCCACAGTGCTCTCTGGATATAGGCGAACTACAACTCCAAAACTCAAGCTCAGTTCTCACCAACCACCAAGCCCTTCCAGTATTTTCTGCTGGTCATGGGAGTTCTGTATGCCAACTTTGGTTCAATTCCATCGTTGGTGGAGTTCAGAATGGTATTTGATTGTCGGTGAACTATGAATCCCAGCAACTACAACTCCCAAATGACAAAATTAATCCCCACCCCACCCCTACCCCACCAGTAATCAAATGTGGGTGTGTTGGGTATTTGTGCCAAATTTGGTCCATTGAATGAAAATACATCCTGCATATTAGATATTTACATGATGGTTCATAACAGTAGCAAAATTACAGTTATGAAGTAGCAACAAAATTAGTTTAATGGTTGGGGGTCACCACAATATGAGGAACTGTATTAAGGGGTTGTGGCATTCGGAAGGTTGAGAATCACTGGTCTAAGAGAAAGGCAGTGGCAAATCCCCTCTGGACAAATCCTGCCAAGAAAACGTTGCAATAGGGTTGTCATAAGTCAGAGCCGACTTGAAAGCACTTAATGATAACAACTAATGACTCAGTAACATGACTACATGTTTCAAAACATTAGTTTGGCAACAGACACCTGATGAGTCCCGAGCCGAACAAATGTGTTTACAATACTTCTACCATCATACTGTTTTGAAAAAGAAGTGACGCAGGCATGAGCCTTCCTGACTTTTGCATTTTCTTGCAGACAAACTGTCTCCAGTACTTGGATGCCCGTAATACGCCGCTGCTGGATCACTCTGCACCGTTTGTGGCTCGTGCTTTGCGCATCAGCAACAGCCTGACTGTCCTGCACCTGGAGAATGCAAGCCTTTCAGGACGTCCCCTCATGTTGCTAGGTGAATATATTGAGTTGGCTTTTCTCTCTCAGTGTGGTAGTTCATTTCTTCTTTTCTTTGTCTCTTTACCTTTAACGGTAGTTGTATTCTGCCCTGGCATGGTGAATGCAGTTGACTTGCAGGCAGGCTGTTTCTTTGATGGTGGATTTAGAGCAGCATAAGGACGCACAGTTGATATTTGACATAGTCTTTTGGACTGCAACTGGCTGGAGAAGTCTAGTAGTACCCCAAAGCATATTTATTTATCGTGTCAGGAGCAGACTAAACAGTTGTACTGCATTTTTTAAACAAACAAACAAACAAAACACAAAGTTTGCAAGCTTGGTAGTTGATTAAATGTCCTTTGACCAGTAGCTGGCCACTTGGAGTGCCTCTGGCGTTACTATAAGAAGGTCCTCCATTGTGCATGTAGCAGGGCCCAGGTTGCATTGCAGCAAGTGGTCTGTAGTTTGCTCTTCTCCACATTCGCATGTTGTGGATTCCACTTTGTAGCCCCATTTCTTAAGGTTGGCTCAGCATCTCGTGGTGCTTAAGCAGCTGAGGGGGGAAAGGAAGGGGTCTGAGGCCAGGAATTGTGGGAGTTGAAGTCCAAAACACCTGGAGGGCTGAAATTTGCCCATGCCTGGCCTAGTCAGTAGTACATTGGTGTTCTGGCCCAGTCTGGTGATCTGGAAAATTAAGTAATGAGAAAGTGTTGCTTTCTAATATATGTAATTTCTTTCTGCTTGTGGGTAAACAGTATTTCTTCTTGTTTCTTTTTTCCGTGTTGATGTAGAGATTGTCTGGTTTGCTTACTCTGGAACATGCAACATATAATTGTCCTTCTTTAAGGGTCCATTTGAAATCTGTGATACTATATCTGTCATACACATATATGTGTGTGTGTGTGAATCATATCTATCTATCTGTATCTGTGGCTGGATGGCTCTTTGTCAGGAGGGCTTTGGTTTTCTTGCTCTGGTGTTTTCTTGCCCTGGTGAAGAGAGTTGGACTGGATGGCCTTAAGACAGCATTTCTCAACATGGGCGTTGGGATCCCTGCAGAGGTCATAAAGTGATATCAGAAAGGTCACCGAAACCATCAGAAAACACAGAATTTTCTGTTGGTCATGGGGATTCTGTGTGGAAAGTTTGGTTCAATTCTATCGTTGGTGGGGTTCAGAATGCTCTTTGACTGTAGGTGAACTATAAATCCCAGTTACTACAACTCCCAAATGTCAAGATCTATTTTCCCCAAACTCCTTCTGTGTTCACATTTGGGCATATGGAGTATTTGTGCCAATTTGGTCCAGATCCATCATTGTTTGAGTCCACAGTGCTCTCTGGATATAGGTGAACTACAACTCCCAAACTCAAGGTCAATGCCCACCAAACCCTTCCAGAATTTTCTGTTGGTTGTGGGAGTCCTATGTGCCAAGGTTGGTTCACTTCCATCATTAGTGGGGTTCAGAATATTTATTTATTTATTTACTGCATTTGTTGACCGCCGTTCTCAGCCCTAGGGCGACTCACGGCGGTGTACAACACATAAAAACAGTTTACAATAGGCAATATCACAACAAAATCAACATAACTAACATAACTATCAATAATACAATACAATACTCTTTGATTGTAGGTGAACTGTAAATCCCAAATGACAAAATCAATTTTTTGAGCAATGGTCACTCCTTGGGGTAGTAGGTGTATTGTGTCCAAATTTGGTGGCAGTTTGTTCAGTGGTTTTTGAGTTGTGTTAATCCCACAAACGAACATTACATTTTTATGTATATAGATGGTGCGTATACTTATGTTTCTTTTTGACTGGAGGGAACTACTAGCTAAGAGCCCTGACCAGCCTCTGCATGTTTGTTCTTTCAAGTATGAAACCAAGTATAATGATTAATATTGGATTTTAGCTCTGAAAGAGGTCTTTTGTGCCTCTTAAGGCTGGTGCGAGGTGCTAAGAGGCAGTAGTAAACTTACAGTGGCTAAATTTCTGCATTCTGGCTGAGAGCTTTAATAATGAATTGGAGCCAGCCTCAGGAAACTATAAAATGCAGACCTGTAGCAATAATGAATGAAGTTTGAAAGCGAGTCTCCTTTGGTTACGGCTGCTGCGTCCTGTGAGCTCAAGGACAAACACCACACTCCATTTGACCTTGTGATATTTTTTTTGTTCCAAGTATCTACAATTGAGCAGAACAGAGGTCTCAATACTTTACTAGTGTGTTCTTAGTCTTCTCCTTCCACTTTCTTTTTACTCTTCACCAGAAAGTTCTGGTTCAGTGCATGGCACACAAAGCTTTGAATGTGTCTACTGTGAGGAGATGTGGGCAACTGTGGGAGGTTAAAGGACATTTGCATGGGCTATACCCCCATTAGTAAAAACTGGAAAAAAGTGTCTCCAGATGATCTTATTATTTTTGCCATTTTAGACCCAGGAGAGGGACTTACTTAACCATAAAATGGCCTAACCACCCCACCCCCTTTTAAAATTTGGGGGAGGGGGGGAAGCATCCAGATCTCCTGGGTGGCATTTTAGGGAAATATAATTCAACCCTTGGGAATTAGAAATGTCCTTAGGGCAGTGGTTCTCAACTTTCCTAATGCCACGACCCCTTAACACAGTTCCTCGTGTTGTGCTGACCTCCAACCATAACATTATTTTTATTGCTACTTCACAACTGTAATTTTGTTACTGTWATGAATCGTAATGTAAATACCATATCTGATATGCAGGATGTATTTTCAATTACTGGACGACATTTGTCACAAATACCCRATATGCCCCAATTTGAATACTGGTGGAGTTGGAGGGATTTGTTTTGTCATTTTGGAGTTGTAGTAGCCTACAATCAAAGAGCATTCTGAACTCCACCAATGATGGCATTGAACCAAACTTGGCACWCAGAACTCCCATGACCTACAGAAAATACTGGAAGTGTTTGTTGGGCATTGACCTTGAGCTTGGGAGTTGTAGAAAGCACTGTGGACTCAGAAAGCATCAGAAAGCACTGTGGACTCAAACAATCTGGACCAAACTTGGATCTGGACCAAACTTGGCACAAGTACTCAATATGACCAAATGTAAACACTGGTGAAGTTTGGGGAAAATAGAAATTGACATTTGGAAGTTGTAGTTCCTGGGATGTATAGTTCACCTATAATCAAAGAGCATTCTGAACCCCACCAACAATAGAATTGGGCCAAACCTCTCACACAGAACCCCAGAAAATACTATGTTGTTGTAGGTTTTTTCGGGCTATATGGCCATGTTCTAGAGGCATTCTCTCCTGACGTTTTGCCTGCATCTATGGCAAGCATCCTCAGAAGTAGTGATTCCGGCCATGAAAGCCTTCGACAATACAGAAAATACTGTTTTCTGATGGTCTTTGGTGACCCCTCTGACATGCTTTTCCAGACCTCCCCAGGGGTCCTGACCCCCAGGTTGAGAAACACTGCCTTAGGGGCTGTGTGTGACCCATTAGCTGCATTTTGCCCGTCTTGATTTAGGGTCAAACAGTTTTTTCTCGGTCCGTTTCCTCTAGTCGTGGCTGTCATTTTTGTGGAGCATCAGCCATCTTTCGATTATTATCCCTACCATCACTTGTTTCTGCTGGGAATGAAGAGATGGTGAGGGATATAAAATGGACATTTTGGAAGGAGCATATTCTTTTTCTTCCTCCTGGCCATGCTTCTTCAGTGGGATTGGCTTCCCTCCCTCTGTATGCAATAAATATAGTGCCCAGGAAGAGAGAAAAAGAAGAAGACAGCTCTCATTGTTTAGCTTGTTGAGAAATCTAGGCCAATGCTCAATAGAGCTAAATCATTTATCTGGTGGACCAATTTAAGGTACGGCCAAAATATGGAAGCAGTTTCTCTATCCTTGCTTGCTTGCCTCCACTGTCAAATGAGCTGTGTAGGCAGGAATTGTGTTCCAAAACAAAGTGAAACAAACAAACAAAGTCAAAACCCAAGACCTTTTCCAAACCTTTCTGTTTAGGCAAAGTCACTCACAAATTGGAAAGGCAGGTGGCTGGCCTCCAGAGAGGTGAAGCACATATTTCAAATTGATTTTGTGGTTCCTTTCAAACAGAGACTCGATGGATGGCTATCTGTCAGGGTGCTTTGAATGTGATTTTCCTGCTACGTGGCAAGGGGTTTGTAGTGGATAGCCTATGAGGTCTCTTCCAACTCTGATTCTATTATTATCTTTGCAAATTTCTTTCTTTTTAAGCGACGGCTCTGAAAATGAACATGAACTTACGGGAGCTTTACCTTGCTGACAATAAGCTGAACAGCCTTCAGGACTCAGCGCAGCTTGGCAACCTCTTAAAATTCAACTGTTACATTCAGATCCTGGACCTGAGGAACAACCACATCCTGGACTCAGGTGGGATGATCAAATCCTCTGACTTGAACACATTTATGCAAAGGAAGTTGATTTGGTTGTTTTTTGTGAGTTACGTTTAGTGGTTGCTACCTTGTGAAATATAATGGAATGTCACTCTGAAACAAAACTATTTTGGAACTGGAATAAAATGAATGTAATTTTAAGAAATTTTTCAGGTATTTTTTGAGCTCTAACAATTTGCTCAGTGGTCTATTCTTGAAACTATTGAAGTCATATTCAGTAGGTAACTGGCAGCTGATTCTCATGTCAATATGCATGAGTTTCAGTTATTAGCCTATTTTATTGTATTCCAGATTACAAGAAATTCTTGTAATCTGAAAGAATGGGATTGTCCGTTAGTTAATTGATGAACTTGTTAAATCTATAGTAAATAAAAATCTAATTTTTTGTGGGATTAACATAACTCAAAAACCACTGGACGAATGGACACCAAATTTGGACACAATACACCTATCAGGCCAATAAGTGACCGTCACTTATAAAAACACAGAGAAAGAGACTTAAAAAGCGAAAAAAATTAAAAAAATACATTACAACTTATGCACAAAATCACATATACCGTATATACTCGAGTATAAGCCGACCTGAATATAAGCTGAGGCACGTAATTTTACCACAAAAAAACTGAGAAAACGGATTGACTCGAGTATAAGCCGAGGGTGGGAAATGCAGCAGCTATTGGAAAATTGCAGAATAAAAATAGATAACAATTAAATTACATTAATTGAGGAATCAGTAGATTATATATTTTTGAATATTTACAAAACATGGTAATTTAAGATAAGACTGTCCAACTCTGATTAAATGATTATTTACCTTATTCAATGTAAATATGCTTACGTATCCTTCCAATTATAATAGAGTAACATAACAAACGTAATAATAGCAATAATAAAAAGAGTAAAATAATGAATGTAGCAATAACAACAATTATACAGTAAAATAATAAATGTATAATAATGGAGTAAAATGATAAATTAATAATAATAAATAGAATAAAATAATAAATGAAAATAATAATAATAATAGTAATAATAATAATAACAGAGTAAAATGATAAATGTAATAATAATAAATAGAATAACATAATAAATGAAATGAAAATAATAATAATAATAATAGTAATAATAGTAATAATAATAACAGGGTAAAATAATAAATAACTTTGACTCGAGTATAAGCCGAGGGGGACTTTTTCAGCCTAAAAAAAGGGCTGAAAAACTAGGCTTATACTCTAGTATTTACAGTATACACATACACACACATACATACACACACAAAACACATATACACAGACTGGGCCACAGCAACGTGTGGCAGGGGACGGCTAGTTTTATATAAAACCTGTCTGCTGAAATTTTAGTGCCTGTGTCTGTAAAGTATTTGAACATCTGCACTGGTATCTCCTCTGTCTCTGCTCAGCTGTTTTGTTGTTTGGTTCCCAGGATTGGCGTACATCTGCGAGGGGCTGAAAGAGCAGCGGAAAGGCCTTGTCACGCTGGTGCTGTGGAACAACCAGCTGACTCACACTGGCATGGCCTACATGGGAATGACACTGGTGAGTCATCCGCTGACCGAAAACCAGATGCTGTGATAGCCTTTGTTAACAAAACATAGCCACCTGCTTACACTGAGTCAGGCCTTTCGGATGTTTAAATCATCGAATCCCCAGGGTTGCAAGAGGAGATCGTCATGGACCTTTGGCCCTTTTAACTGGAAATGCCTGAGATTGAATTTGAGACCTTTGGAATCAAAGCACCCTTTGTTCTGGTACCCTGTTTGTGGAAAACTGCCTTCCCCTGACTAAAGTAATTACCGTATATACTCAGGTATAAACCGAACTGAATATAAGCCGAGGCACCTAATTTTACCACAAAAATTGGGAAAACATATTGACTCGAGTATAAGCCGAGGGTGGGAAATGCAGCCACTATTGGTTAATTTCAAAATAAAAGGAGATACCAATAAAATTACATTAATTGAGGCCTCAGGAAGTGCAATGTTTTTTAATATTTACATAAAACTGTAATTAAGACTGTCCAACTCTGATTAAACCATTATTCTAGCCTCCTTCAATGTAAATGTGCTTACATATCCTTCTAATCATAATAAAGAGAGCAAAATAATAAATGTAATAACAACAATGATAAATAGTGTAGAATAATAAATGTAATAATAGAGAATAAAATAATAAATGTAATAAAAATAATAGAGTAAAACAATGTAAATGTAATAATATCCATAATAATAGAGTAAAATAATAAATGTAATAAAATAATGTAAATGTAATAATATCCACAATAATAGAGTAAAATAATAAATGTAATAAAATAATAATAAATAGAGTAATAAAATAAATATAATAAAAATAATACTAATAACAGAGTAAAATAATAAATAACCTTGCTCGAGTATAAGCCGAGGGGGGCTTTTTCAGCCTAAAAAAGGGGCTGAAAAACTAGGCTTATACTTGAGTATATACAGTAAACATAAATTAGTTTTAAAAGTGGATTTCCAGCTTCTCTTTTATCGGTTTCAATGTAACGTTTTCCTTCTGTCAGCAAATATAAACTTTTAATCTCTTTAGCAATGTTTGAACTGTGAACACAGTAACCCACAGCATTCCCTGTTTGTATTCTCAGCCTCATACCCAGAGCCTTGAGACCCTCAACCTGGGGCACAACCCCATTGGCAACGAAGGTGTCCGCAACCTGAAGAATGGGCTAATCGGCAACCGCTCGGTGCTCAGGCTGGGTCTGGCTTCAACGAAGCTGACCTGTGAGGGTAAGCCACCCCATTCTCCAGTGGTATGGATGTCCCTGCAAGCAAACTCCCTGTCTTGTGGGTTTAGGGTTCATTGAGTGTCCTTTGTTGTCCAGGAGCTGTGGCGGTAGCAGAATTCATTGCGGAGAGCCCTCGCCTGCTTCGGCTGGACCTGCGGGAGAATGAGATCAAGACAGGGGGACTCATGGCCTTGTCTTTGGCCCTGAAGGTCAACCACTCCTTGCTCCGGTTGGACCTCGACAGGGAGCCCAAGAAGGAATCGGTATGTCCCTGTTTTGGCCTGCTTGTGTGGAATGAATCTTCCATCTTGTGCTTGTACTGCAGACTAAAGAAAGGATACTTAGAAGCTTTGGCCATGCAACACAAATTTATTTATTTACGACATTTATATACCGCCCTTCTCACCCCAAAGGGGACTCAGAGCGAGTATATATTACATACAATATATTATATTATTGGCATAGTACAATATCATCATTAAACATTGCTATATTGCACCATACCACTATATAATAATATTATTAGTAATATTACATGTAATCTATATAAATAAAAATGTAATGTTCGTTTGTAGGATTAACAGAACGCAAAAACCACTGAGCGAATTGACACCAAATTTGGACAAAAAATACCTAACAACCCAATGTATGTCCTTCACTAAAAAAATTTGATTTTGTCATTTGGGAATTGTAGTTGCTGGGATTTATAGTTCACCTACAATCATAGAGCATTCGGAACCCCACCAACGATGGAATTGAACCAAACTTGGCACACAGTTCTCCCATGACCAACAGAAAATACTGGAAGGTTTTGGTGGGCAGTGTCCTTTGGTTTTGGAGTTGTAGTTCACCTACATTGAGAGATCACTGTGGACTCAAACAATGTTGGATCTGGACCAAACTCCACAAGAATACTCAATATTGCCAAATGTGAACACTGATAGAGTTTGGGGAAAATAGAATCTTGACATTTGGGAGTTGTGGTTGCTGGGATTTATAGTTCACCTACAATCACAGAACATTCTTAACCCCACCAACGATAGAATTGGGCCAACACAGAACCCCCATGTGGGCCACAGCAATGCGTGGCAGGGGACGGCTAGTATAAATATATAATTATAATATATTATTATTATATTGCATTACATTATAATATCATAATTATTATATGTATATGCAATATATTATATTATATATAATCAAAACATTATGAACAGACCTGCCTACAAAACCACCTAATTCACTTTTTACACCTTGGAAGTGACAGAATGGCAGGGAGAGCTTTTCCTATTGCTAATCCACAGATCGCTAGACAGGGAAAGTGTGGCCTTGTTGGTTCTCTTGGATATCTCAGCAACTTTTGATACCATCGACCATAATATCCTTCTCTCCAGAATGGGGTGGCTCTCCAGAATGGCTCTGCAACTTCCTGGAGGGTCACACCCAGTTGATGAAGCTGGGGGACACCTGCTTGGACCCCTGGCCATTGACCTGTGGGTTCCAGCAAGGTTCCATTCTAACTCCCATGCTTTTCAACATCTACATGAAACTACTGGGAGAGGTCATCCTTTAATAGCATCTCCCATGCTAAATGTTTTAATTGTTCTTTGTTTTGTAGGCATCGAATTGTGCCATTTGTAAACCGTCCTGAGTCGCCTTCGGGCTGAGAACGGTGGTATATAAATATAGTGGGTTGTTGTAGGTTTTTCGAGCTATATGGCCATGGTCTAGAGGCATTCTCTCCTGACGTTTCGCCTGCATCTATGGCAAGCATCCTCAGAGGTAGTGAGGTCTGTTGGAACTAGGAGAAAGGGTTTATATATCTGTGGAATGACCAGGGTAGGACAAAGGACTCTTGTCTGCTGGAGCTAGGTGTGAATGTTTCAACTGACCACCTTGATTAGCATATAATGGCCTGACAGTGCCTGGAGCAAACTTTTGTTGAGAGGTGATTAGATGTCCTTGTTTGTTTCCTCTCTGTTGTTTTGCTGTTCTAATTTTAGAGTTTTTAGTACTAGTAGCCAGATTTTGTTCATTTTCATGGTTTCCTCCTTTCTGTTGAAGTTGTCCACATGCTTGTGGATTTCAATGGCTTCTCTGTGTAGTCTGACATGGTGGTTGTGAGAGTGCTCCAGCATTTCTGTGTTCTCAAATAAAATGCTGTGTCCAGGTTGGTTCATCAGGTGCTCTGCTATGGCTGACTTCTCTGGTTGAAGTAGTCTGCAGTGCCTTTCATGTTCCTTGAAATATATAAATATAGTTAATAAATAATAGTTTTCCCAAGTTCATTTTACAGAAAGCATAGTTGGAACTATCAATGTGTTCTCAGATTTGTTTAATATCTTCTTGTTTTCCTTTCCTACCACTGCAATTTTTCCTTAAACAAAAATGTATGTGTTCAAGAGGTAGGTTAGATTGGTAGATTCAACCTTGGTGATAGCATAATTCAGCTTTAGTGGAGTATTGCTGTTTGGTTGTACTCACTTGAAAAGGTGCATTTTAAAATCTTTCCTATATTGCAAGGCAGTAATTCTATTCCATCCAAGGTGCAGAAGGCTTTGTCCAAATCACTTGATACCTGTAGTCTCAGGTTTCCTTCACAAAAGGTTGGCTCCTTGATGCGGTATTGGCTGTAACGAAGCAGCTCGCTGGTCACTGTGCTGCCTTTCTGATGTACATTTTCCAGGGAGCAAATGAGGCCAAGTTCTTTGTAAGGAAAAGCTTCCAGGAAGCAACCTTTTTCTCCGGTGAGGTATATTTTAATGGCTGTGTGTTTATAGGTATGGGTAAGTGTGCTATATTTTCATACCAGCAACCAAACCCAGATTCCAGGACAGAATAAACTTCCTTTCAATGAACTGGGCACCTCTTTTTCTCTTTCTGCAGCTATGCTCCCTTGTATGATTCATCCTCTTACCTTGGTCTCTTCTGCAGGTGAAGAGCTTTATTGAGACACAGAAAGCCCTCCTGACGGAGATCCAAAATGGCTGCAAGCGCAACTTTGTTCTAGCCAAAGAGAAGGAAGAGAAGGAGCAAAAACTCCAGCAGTCTGCCTCCATGCCCGAAATCACGGTGACAGCGCCCTTGGAAGAGGGACCGGTGGAAGATGAGGGGCAGAATGGGAACCTGGCATCCACCCCAGAAGAAGGGGAGGACGTTGGGGAAACATTAACATCCCAAGAGAATGGGGCAGCAGAGGAGAAAGTCACTGTAAATAACGACAAGTCATCTGATTCAGATTCAGACACCGAGGAAGAGGAGGAGGACAGACTAGAGATGAAGGATCTTTCTCGTTCTCAGAAGCACAGCAGTCTAAATCATATTGATGAGTCACCCAAGCTACCTTCTCCCGAAAAGACTAAGGAGGCCCATAGCTCTGAAAACACAGTTACCCCCTTGAATGTTCCCGGGGAAATCAAATGTGAATCTAGGGGGGTTGTGGGAAATGTGTCTCCATCGCCAGCCACTCCTCCTGGCAATGAGAGGCGAATAGCAGTCTCTAGTCCTGGGCGAGGCCATAAAATCTTCGTTGTGACGCGTGTAGAGAGCCTGCCTGAGAAAAAGGACGAGTCCAACGCACGGCCAGAGAACTCTGTCACTCTCCAGGGAGTCCCCCCAAAGCAGAATAAGCCCCCAGCCCAATCTCATCCCACAAAAACTGAAAACTCAGATGGGCCAAGCAGTGGGCCTGTGTCTGAGTTGAGGGCCAACTCTGAAACATCTCCTTCTACCCCAAGTTCCGATTCAGGGTTGGAAAAGATGGACTCTGGGCCATGTGAGAGGACGACTCATCATACTCTGTTGCCCAATGGACTAAAGACAGAGTTTCTCCATGCACTACCAGACACGTCCTTAGGGCGTGAGGGGAAAATTGCCAGTTGTGCGATAGAACATGGTAAGAGGATATGAAAGCTTTGTATTAGAAGAGAGGGGGTTATCTATAATGTGTGTAAGATAGATACACACATGTACACACACACACACACACAAACACACCTGAGGGCTGAGAAGGGCGGTATACAAATACAGTATACACACACACATACACACACGCACACATACACACAAGGGGTATTTTTAAAGTAAGGTCCGTTGGAACATAAGTACACAACCAAAGTTTATTTCAAAAAAGTAATTTTATTTTCAGAAAGTATATACTTCACTCTATTTTTCGACATAGTTGCCAAGTTTGTTCAAACACTTATCATACCTCTGAACCAATTTTAAAATACCCTCTTCATAAAAGCTTGCCGCCTGCTCCGATAACCAAATAGTCTAATCAAAGAAGGGCGACCGGAGCGGTCCTCATCATGGACGTTGTCACGGCCATCTTTGAATTGTCGTACCCACTTACGCACTTTGCTTTCACTCATAACATTATCACCGTACACTTCACAAATCTGTCGATGAATTTCTGCAGCAGGCAGGTTCCTAGCTGACAAAAACTGTATCACTGAGTGAACCTCACATGCGGAGGGTGAGTTGATAGTCTTAAACATTTTTAAAGCACAGAATAGAATCGTACAGGTTAGCTACAGAGCAGAAACTGAGCACAGTTCCCGAGGCATGCCGGTACATGACGTTGTGGTATGCGACTGAACTACTAGTGTCTACAACAAAACTGACCTTACTTAAAAATACCCCTTGTGTGTGTGTGTGTACACACACACACACATATATACATGGCCCCCCTGGTGGCACAGGGGGTTAAACCACTGAGCTGCTGAACTTGCTGATCAAAAGGTTGGTGATTAGAATCTGGGGAGTGAGGTGAACTCCTGCTGTTAAGCCCAGCTTTTAACCTAGGAGTTCGAAAACATGCAAATGTGAGTAGATGAATAAGTAATGCTTCTGTGGGAAGGTAATGGTGCTTCATGCAGTTATTCTGGCCACATGACCTTGGAGGTGTCTATGCACAACGCTGACTCTTTGGCTCAGAAATGGAGATGATTTTATGTCTAGACTTTGCCAGCCTTGGGGAGTCAGAGAAGGGACAAGGCAAACTTGTGGTCATGTGATGAGTTCCAGGCAATCACAATTAAACATGGAGGAAGGGATGAGTGGCCCATCGAAGTATGTGTTTGTGTGTGTGTTATATGTGTGTGTTATATGTGTGTGTGCATATGTGTGTGTGTATAGAGGCCCTTTGCAACTGCCAAGTTGTGTACACCTGCTCTAGTGGAATATTTCCTAATCTAGTCATCCTGGTGTTTCGGGCTCTAGCTCCCAGAATCCCTGATAGTTGTCCACAACAGCTGGAAGGAATCCAAATCACAGAATTTGGTCATCACTGTTCTGGAAGAACCCTTGAAATAAGTTTTTTTTTTTTTTTTAGAAAATGCAAATATTATTTTTATAGCTCAGTAAATCCACATCTGCCATGAACCCTCACAAGAACCCCTTGTAATCTTTTGTGGAACCCTAGAGTTCCAGGTAACCCTGATTAAGAATCCCTGATATAATTTATACATCTATAATGCATATGAATGTGTGCTTGTGTTTTAGAGAGAGACACGCACACCGTAGTGTAGTAGTTAGAGTGGTGGGTTAGGACTCTGGATTTGAATTTATTTATTTACTTACTTATTTACAGCATTTATATGCTGCCCTTGTCACCCCGAAGGGGACTCAGAGCAGCTTACAAGATATACATACATACAATATATTATATTATTAGCATAGCACAATATCAGTATTACGGTATATATTACTATATTATACTATACCATTATATTGTAATATTATTAGTAATATTTCATGTAATATATATAATTATAATGTATTATTATTAGTAGTATTATATTAAATTATAATATTATAAATATTATATGAATATACAATATATGATATTATATTGCCACTCAGCTGTGGAAACACACTTTTTCAGCCCCAGAGGAAGACAAAGACCAACCCCTTCTGAACAAATATTGCAAAAACAGAAAGAAAGAAAGAAAGAAAGAAAGAAAGAAAGAAAGAAAGAAAACCCTTAACTTAGGATTACCATAACTCAGAAATAACTTGGAGGTATACATGCTCCATGCAGTCATGCCGGCCACATGACCTTGGAGGTGTCTACGGACAACGCTGACTCTTCGGCTTAGAAATGGAGATGAGCACCACACCCCAGAGTCAGACATGACTGGACTTAATGTCAGGGGACTACCTTTACCCTTATACGCCAACAATGTATGAGAGAAAGCAAAGAAGGAAGGGAGAGTGGCCCCACAATCCCATCACATGTATTTTGGGCACAGGGACGGCCAAATCTGGGGTGGTTGATTGGAATGGCTGAATTATATATGGAGTTTCCCATGTGAATCAAACTAAACACACAAGTTCGATGTAGATGTCTGAAGATTTATGTATCGGAAATAAAGACAATTTAGTGTCAGTGCTGGAGGTAAGTCTAGTTCTCCCAATAATCTTTGGACCACAACTCACATAAGACCCAGCCAGCATGGCCAATGGTCAGAGAAAATTGGGTATCACCATCCTCTGGACACCAGATTGCCTACCATAGGTTTATTACACTCTCAAGACATGACTGACTCTCAGACTCTTCCCTCTGCCTTTTTTCCAGAGCTGAACTGTTCCAAGAATGAGAAGGAGCTGGAGGAATTACTCTTGGAAGCGAGCCTAGAAATGGGACAGGAACCAATGTGACACTTTAGGTAAGGCATTTACAAAGGGAGAATCCTGTCTTCTCAAAGGAGGATACAACAGGGCTGACTCAACCCGTTACAGCACATGCAGTTGATTGTTGAAGTAACTTCACTGAAGAAGGCCTGATCTGAAAGACGCTTTCTAAAAGTGCGAGGCAGCCTCGTTGAGTTCACTGGGCATTTACTTTGTCATAGATAGGCTTTAGGCTCAAAGTTCAGAATCTGACTTTTTGGAATGTGTACATGCCTTATTTACTGAAAGTCAAGTCTCCAGGTCTCAATATTGTTAAATCATATTGATGCCCACGTGAAAAAGCTGAGAAATGCTGATGCTTGAGTCGAGGGATATTTTCATTTGGCATGTCAGAAGCAAGGGATGGTGATAATAAGAATACGAGTTTGGATCATGTGATTCTAATGTTTATATTAGGTGGTTTTTAATTTTTATGTTTTCATGTCTAAATGTTGTTTTATCTTATGGTTTATTTATTTACAGTATTTGTATACCGCTTTTCTCACCCCTAGGGGGACTCAAAGCGGTTAACACACAAGTAATGGCAGAAATTCAATGTCAGTACAAATAATTGCAATTATACACTACAATTAAACATAAATCAAATTAAAAACAATACACCCATAAGCAATAAAACAATCATTAAAACAATAAAACAGTCTCATCCGTCGAGTTGCCATTCTAGTCATAGTCTTTCCAAAATGCTGCATTCATTTTCTTCTACTGCCCGAAGGCCTGGTCCCAAAACCATGATTTTAATTTTTTCCTAAAAGCCAGGAGGGAGGGAACGGATCTTACCACATTTGGGAGTGTGTTGGGAGGGTTGTCGTATTGAATTTATGCATAGTTATATGTTTTGTGTAGATTTATGATTTGGTTTTTATGGATGTGGGGCATTGAATTTTGTCATTATTTGTTGTAAACCACTTTGAGTCCCCCACGGGGTGGGAAAAGTGGTACAGTAGAGTCTCGCTTATCTGACCTTCGCTTATCCGACATCCCGTCTGATCCAACGCTCTTATCCGACGCTCCCCTTTTCCTCTGGCTCCTTCTCGTTCTCCAATTAAAGGAGCACTCCTCAACTCTCTCTCCATCCCCAATAAGTGAAAAAGGCAAGACAAGGATGAGGAGGAGGGAAGAAATGGGGGAAAGAGGCAGGACAGGAAGTGGAAACATCCTCTTCCCTTCCTTCTGAGATTTTCATGCCTTAACCCTTTGAGTCCCTGTTGTTAGTATTCTAGGTGTCTAGCGTTGGGCGGGTAACAGTAGGAGACTCCATATTAACCGACATTTTTGTTTATCTGACATTCTGCTGGCCCATTTATGTCGGATAACCAAGACTCTACTGTATATAAATGCAGTAAATAAACAATAAATGAAAAATGTGTAGTTTGGGATACATTTTCAAAGCGAGTAGATTATAAATGCAAATAGCTCTATACTTGGGGTAACATACACATACAGTAGTGTCTCGCTTATCCAACCTTAGCTCATCCAACATTCTGTATTATCCAACGCAGCTGTTTCAGTACATTGCAATGTTTTAGTGCTAAATTCGTAACTACATTAATTACTATAAAATGTTGCCATGTATTGAACTGCTTTTTCTGTCGATTTGTTGTAAAACCTGTTTTGGTGCTTAATTTGTAAAAACCATAGTGTAATTTGACATTTAATAGGCTTTTCCTTAATCCCTCTTTGTTATCTATCCTTCTTGCTTATCCATTGTTTTGCTGGACTGTTTATGTTGGATAAGACAGACTCTACTGTATATAGGTATTGTGCAAACATATATTGCTGCAAAGCAGATGACTTGCCAAATTGGTGGCTGTGATCCTCTGCACCAGGACTGTGGCACAGCTGTCTGAGTGTCAGTTGCATTAAGATCACTTCTGACCACAAGGTCATGAGTTCGAAGCCAGCCCGGGTCGGAGTGAGCTTCCGACCGATTGTGCAGCTTGTTGTTGACTTTTGCAAACCGAAAGACAGTTGCATCTGTCAAGTAGGAAAATTAGGTACCACCTATGTGTGAGGAGGCTAATTTAACAAAATTTACAAGGCCATATAAAAGACTCCAGCAAAAGCATGCGGGGAATGCAGAAGTACTTCATCAGTGTCGCAGATGGATGATGAAAGTGACAGCTCCCCTGGTGACCAGTAAAGTTAAATAGCCTCTGTCTGTCTGTCTATATCTGTGGTGTGTCTTTGGCATTGAATGTTTGCCATATATGTGTACATTGTGATCCGCCCTGAGTCCCCTGTGGGGTGAGAAGGGCGGAATATAAATACTGTAAACAATAATAATAATAATAACTCTTTTCCCCCTTTTCTTCCAGTTCTGGGCCCTTCTGTGTCAAATAGGTTCGGTTTGGGAAGTGACTGTCTAGCTTTATTCCCTCCCTGCACCATGTGACTCTGAGGATAAAAAAAACTGACTCTGCAACACAGAGGCAATGCAACCCACTTTCCAGACTTCATTCCCTCCCTCACCTTCACATTCTTGATGTCTTCCCACTGAGAAGAGAGGCTGTACAGCCCAGCTGATCAGGATTCGAAAGGATTGAAAAGAATCATCCTACAGACTCTTGACACTTCACCTGCTTTGGGTTTCTCGCTCCAAAATGCAAACTGGAGCACTTGTGGCATGTTTTTTATTGCTGGGATGACTCTTCCAAAGGTAGCCACGAGGAGACTTCCAGACTTTGATTTGACAGGCTGGAATCCTCTTTCCAGTTTAAAAGGAGAGGAAACCCAAGATGTGGACCGGGCCTGTGTTTCAGCTGTCTCTGCATTAGACGTGCAACAGTTTCCCACAAACACTAAGAGAGAAGGGCAACTTTCCTGGATCAAGACGATAAAGCATTATTGTGTTCGCAGCCCACCTCGTGGAGAGAGGTCTCTCAACCAGGCAAAGACTACTGAGGCTGCCGGCCCACAGCACAGACTACTATTTATTTTCATTTTCATTCCCTCCCCCAAGTTTCCCTTCTTCTTAGTGGCACCTCCTTGTTTGTTCGTCTTTGATTTGGTGTCTATTTATAATGGAATGGGAACAGTTTTACCTTTGAACGGCAATCCTTTCAGACTGACGGGGCATTCGTCCACGTTTTTGGAGAGCCACTTGCCTCTTTCCATGGGGAAAAAGAACTGTTTTTACTTTGCAAAAAAAAGGAATAACATTAATGGGAGGGAAACTGTGGGCATAGTGGGGGACCGGTGATGGGACATGGAGAGAGAGGGCAGCAGCGGGAGTGAGGCATGGGTAGGGAAGCCTTCTTCTGCATTGACGGGCGACTTTTGCCTATGAGCGGGCAAGCTGCTGTCGTTTAAGCCGCTTTGGCTTCTCTTCATTTTTAGTGGGCGGGGAAAACAAGGCAAGCTCCTGCACTTCCAAGGAAAAGCTCTCTCCCACCCCCTGCAAAGCCATACCATGACTACCTTTTGGACAATGGGGGAGAAAGTGCATATGGGGCATTTGCAAATACAGTAAAACTGACGGTAAAGCTGTCCTAGCAGGAGAGGCCAAGGTTGTTTGGGTCTTCATCCCTCCCCTTTGCCATAAAACCGACATGGAAAAACATGAGGATGCTGCTGGTCTGGGAGTCTCCCCACTGTTTCTGATCCGAACACCATGTTGCACCATGTCTGTAGCAACAGTGAGTGAGAATGTAGCTTCAGCGACAGGCAGCCGGCTCTCCCTTCACTTGGCCACAGATTACAACTGTCCTGGAACCAGGCTGAAATCTTTCACTACCAAAATTGGTTGTCCTTCCTTTGGGAATCTGGGGCAGGGGTTAGGATGGGAGGGACAGGAGCATTGTGTCCCCAGTTTAAAACATGAACTCTCCCTACCCCCATTTTGTTCCTCATGGGGAGAGGCTCCAAGATTAGTGACTGCAAGGTAGGCTCCATCAGCCGTGTTTGGAAGATGGAAGATGCAGCTTCTGCCAAAAAGTGTATGCGGCGTACAGGGGTGGGGTGGATCCTTTTTTAATTTCTCAGGGAAGGGCTTTTTGCAGCAGCCCCACTTCCCTGGGATGTCGTGCTCTTGCCCTCAAGAGATAAGCCAAAATACCAAGGACTGTGAGCATAGTTGGTGGAGCTTGCCTGCGGGGTCTCTCCTTTCCCTCTTTCACTTCTGTGATACATTTGGGCTCAATAAGAGAGGTTTGTTACAGAAAGCTTGGAAAGTCTAGGTCCAAATGACCTCTCGAGTAGCAGCAGCAGAGGCTAAAATATTCCCCCCCCCAAAAAAAAAAATGTGTGGAAGTGAAATCTTCTCACCAGGGAGGGACTTAGGGCAGAAGAGTGAGGCCTGTGTTAGCTGATGGGGGTTTCAAGGAAAGGACCACCCCTTTGATTCTAAACAAATGACCAGAAACACAGGTGCTCTTTGAGCTCTTGAAATCCCTTTGCGGTCTCCTCCCTTTATTTCTCCTCCCACCACAATACTCCAATCTGTAGTCTGCGACTGACTACATTGCCCCTCTCTATATAAAGCAAAATCTCAGCGGGAGATTTATGGTACTAATCCCGTCATTGAATAAAGAACGAGGAGTCTCTTTTTTCCCTCCATGGACAGAAGGAAAGGCCTCTCCTCACCCCCCCCCCAAAAAAAACACAAAAAAGTAGGGGGAGTCGGCTGTTGGGTAGATGTAGAATTTCAGAGCTTTTTACTTTATTAATTTTTTTTCTTAAGTGCAATAAAATCTTTTATCAGGGAGCTGGAGAGGGCACTTTTCGCTGCATGGAGATTTCAGGCTGGAGAGGCAGGAACACAACTGTGTGCCCTTCATCTTGCTTATCCATGATTCTCTCTTTCAACACACAAAAACACACATAACACAACCAATTGAGATATATACACACATACTGATACAAAGAGTTTCTGCTGCGTGAACACTACATTTACAGAAAAGAAAAGATGGCGCCAGTTTGATTTTGTGTTCTTTTTTTTTCCTTTTTTTTTTGAGCTAACGTTTGTCATTCCTTTCTGTTGTGTGTGGAGTTTTATTTTTGTTGAGAAACTGTCTTCTATTAAATGAAAAGCTGCATTCATTACGTGGCTTCTTCCCATCTCTTTTTGGAGGGTTAGGCTGGGCTGGAAGAATATCCAGTATTGGGTTGTTGTAGGTTTTTTCGGGCTATATGGCCATGGTCTAGAGGCATTCTCTCCTGCCTCTAGACCATGGCCATATAGCCCGAAAAAACCTACAACAACCCAGTGATTCCGGCCATGAAAGCCTTTGACAATACAATATCCAGTATTCTTCCCAAGACAGAGAAGAGTGGGCACCTTACATGTATCAATCGGATGGATCTGAAATTGTGTTCCTTCTCATACACATCCTGGAAACCCCTTCCTCACGGACTTGGCAAAATGGAAAAAGAGCCATGGCATTTAAACATGTTAAACTGCATGACTTCTAGTATAGGTATACCCTTAAGACAGTGGTTCTTTAACTGTGGGCCGTGGACAACCAGTGGGCCACGAGGATGAAAATCTGCGCTGCGAGCCTCCTTTTTATTATATTTTAATTTTATTTCTGCTTCTTTTGCCCCACCTACCACTCCTTCCCTGTCGCTGACCATGACATATGTTCTGTATCAGAAACTAGAGCTGATGTGGTCTACCCAATGCAATTTTCTGAATCTGCACCTAAACAAAATCTAAAGTTGACCAAAAACCGATTTTTAACCCTTTTGGTACTAATGTTGGAGAATGGTCCTTGATCAGAATAGTCCCTGGTCAAAAAAGGTTGGGAACCACTACCTTAAGAGCAGTGGTTCCCAACCTGTGGTCCATGGACCACCAGTGGTCCGCAAGAACTAAAATATGGTCTGTTGTCTCATCTCGCGAAGCCTTCTTCTAGTGCTGAAGCTTATTAAATATGGTTTTCTGTGGGCAAGCAGATGGCGACTACTGGATGGCATATGTTATGTATCAGAAACCAGAGCTGATGTAGTCTATCCAGTGCAGTTTTCTGATCAGCACCCCAAATAACCAATCTGAATCTAAAGTCAAAAAACCAATTTGTAACTAATGTTGGTGTGTGGTTCCTGGTCAAGTGGTCCCTGGTCAAGTGGTCCCTGGTCAAAAACAGATTGGTAACCACTGCTTAACAGCCTTTAAGAAGAAACAATTCTGTAGGAATCCACTGGATGGCAGCAGTGGATTCTTTGGCAGGAAGACCTTTATGAAACAGTAGATACAGCATAGTCTCGCTTATCCAACCTTCGCTCATCCAACGTTCTCCATTATCCAACACAGTCCGCCTCCCACTTGGATCCACATCTGTTTCAATACATTGCAATATTTTGGTGCAAAATCCGTAAATACAGTAATTGCTACATAACGTTACCGTGTATTGAACTTTTTATGTTGATTTGTTGAGAAACATGATGTTTTGGTGCTTAATTTGTAAAATCATAACGTAATTTGACGCTTAATAGGCTTTTCCTTAATCCTTATTATCCAACGTTTTCGCTTATCCATTCTGCCGGCCCATTTATGTTGGATAAGCGAGACTACTATAGTATGATACCTGGGATGTTTGAACACTTAACAGATTTGTAAGACAAAATCAAAGGTAGGCAACACTTTTATTAGGACCAATACACTGTCACAGTGTTAGTGCAAAAGCAACAATGGTGTCCCTTTATGTCAAGACTTCGTTTTGTTGCACAAATTTTGTTACAGCTTCTTTTCACATTATGATCATCATAGAGTCTTGAAACAAGATAAACAATGAGGCAGGCTAAGTTATCAACAGCTTCTGTCTAATTCTTTCTACCATATTACTAAATCGGTGCCACTAACTGTTAGGAATTGTTTTGCCTGTTAGTTTCTTTACCTCTTCACATTCCGTAGGGCAAAACCTTCTGCCTGTGTTTCATTACAGTAATGTTTGAAAGAGGATTCAAACACTCTTCCCTTGTGAGATCTGATGGGCCTTTGCCTTCAGCTAATAAACAAATGCCACATAGAGAATCTTATTTTTCCTAAAAGTGGTGTACACACAGGCTTATTTTGACAAACAAGCTCCTTTTGCAAAGTCTTTTTAGGCACACTTTTCCTTCTTCATCCTCTAATTGGTGGATTTTTTTAAAAAAAAATTTCTTGGTCAGCTATCGCAGAATTAAGAACATCAAAACATAAGAGACATAAAGGAGCAGACAAAAGCCAACATTCTGTTTGTGCAATTGGTTCTACTAATACTGACTCTTTTCTCCCATTTCCCCGACTTCATTTTTCCTTCCCCTCTCTCATTTCCCAACACAAAACCTACTTTGGCAATAGTGTACTCTTTCAGTATCTCTTTCAGTATCTCATCCTCTCCCCCGCTTTCTCATATTCACAGCATTGATAAATTAAACATCTAACAAACAAAAAAAAGTCAAAACGTGCAATTTAAAACCAATCATTAAAATGCCCCACATCTATTATCATCCATTCCTTGGTGCAAATTGTGGCATGTTCCCCATTTGGAGGAAATGTTTTACAGACTTTGTCCAGAATTCAGGTAACCCACCCCATATTCCCTTGCATGTTATGGAACCTGGTTTTCCAGAGGATTCTGAGAAGTATTCAAAGTGCATTATCAATTCACATAGATACTTCTTGAGCGTTCACATACCCATCACTGAGCAGAGAGAATGCCCTGGAATGTGCCCAACACAGCTTTTTATGGGGTAACACAAGAGATTTGAAACTGTCCAACATTACTATGATACTCCTCATTTTGCCCTCCCCAAAAGCACAAATGGATATCAACCATCTTGATCCTTTTCAGCTGGTTCTTCCTTTTTGCTGCAGTACTTTTCCAAGGAATCTAGCGAGCGTAGCTGCCCCATTTGACACCTGATGGAATGGTCCAGGTTGACTGTGTACCTAAGATATTGCTCTCCTTCCTCCACCGTGAAAGGAAAGTCCTGTGAAAGGAACTTCTCAAAGAGTTCTGGGTCACCGTCCAAAGCCAAGATTTTCCCAATGTCCTTGTGCTTGGAGAAGAATTCCTTGCAATTCTCTGTGAAGACATTCCACATAAGTTCCTTGCTGTAGTCAAGTTGCTGTTCGCACTGCAGCTTGTCCTGCATGCATTGCAGAATCCAACTCAGACGGCAGGGCCACTGGTTGGCTAGGACCACCCAACCGGCTACTGAACGAGGACAGATGTTGTGCCGTAGGAGATGTTGTTGGGTCATCAACCTGAGGGTGATAGGGATGGTATTGACAATCCTTCTCATCTGGACAATACTGTCTGGAACGTATTTGTAAAGGCAGTCGTACTCATTGTGGAGGCAGTGGAAAGCATCATGAATATACTGCACAGCCTGAGAATCGATCTGATGCTGGTCTACCTCTATGGATGCTTCTATATCTGTCAAGGCTGCCACTTCTTTTCTTTTGGCCTTTCGGACTCCCTGTTCCAAATTCCTTGTGATGATTCTATACATCAAATCTTCCCGAGTCTGGAAGGCCTCATGCAAGAACCGCATTTTGCAACGGGTGCTGATCTCCGGGATGGAGAAAGGCAGTGTCACGGTACGGTTGAGGTAGAGGTAGCCGTTGTCAGCCATTCCCTTCATGCAGCCAGCTTGCTCTAAGCACGAGACAATGACGCAAGGGTCCACCACCAGAAGGAAGATGAAGGGAGCATTGGTGTCTGAAAGGAGCGTGTTGATGACATTCAGGACCCCGACCACCCTTTCCGGGTAGCACATGTCCAAACTGGTGATCTCAAAGACGATCCTCAGCCGCCGCCGTTCAAAGATCTCCATGTAATAGACAAAGTGAGTTAGGACTTCAATCTCTTTCTTCACCGCACTCATGAATCCCAAATGGCTGGTGAATTTTCCATCACTGGTCATGCTCTCAATTTTCTTCTTTTGGCTCACAAGGAGGTGCTTGATCACAGGAGTCAAGGCCACTATGGCCCCAGAGCCAGAAATGGCAGTGAGGATGCTTCCAAAGATCTTCAAGAAGCTGCCATCTCTGATCCCGGGCACAAGAAATGCAGTGGCAGTCAGGGCCGCACCTGCCATCAAGATGACCCCTAGTCCACCAGCGCCATAGACTACCTTCTTTTTGACCCGCCACTCATCTTGGCTGAACCCAGAGGCATATCGTGGTGCGTTCCCCACCACTTGATAGAAGCTGAGAGGCAGAGGACCGAAGTGGTGGCGGATATGGTCGCACAAAGTGGTAACTAGGCCAGCCCAGAGCTTGTCGCTGCCTGCATACTGCCAGGCACTGAATCTTACGAAGAGGAATTCGATGTTCTTTCTCCTGAGGTGGACCTCTGTGATGATCGGTTCATAGAAGACCAAGTACCAAAGGAGGGTGAAGTAGTTCCAGCCTTCTGGCTGCCTAGGCCTCTGGTGAGTCTTCCGGAACTCGTTCTCTTCTCTCCGCACGGATTCTTTATGCATGCATTCTGCAAAAAGAGGAAAAAGCAGCAACATCAGGTGCAAATATGCCAACTTTTCACTGCTCACAAAAAGGGAGGATTACATGTGGAAGGAATTTGAAAATATGATTTAAAAGGTATTTGTTGAGAAGTCCTAACAAAAAGACTGGTATGAACTGAAGTGAATCTTTGCAGTTCAGAACTTACACCATGCAAAATTTGCACACAGTTGCATAGAAAACAGTATTTTCGGTGCAGAAAACAGTGGTTTTTGATCAGAAAACAGAGCTGCTATTTGCACTGAAAGTGTTTTTTCTTGGGGGGGGGTTGCACAAAAAAATCATGCCCTATTTTGCATCAAATTGTTCTTAAATTACACACTGTGAGTTCCTTGCAGCAAGAAGAAAACCACTAGAATGACATTTTGATTCCTTCAAAAACAAAAGTAGTAAAGGATTGACAATGTGAAAATAGGATTCTTTGTCTTCGGTTTTCAAGTACCCAGTACTCACAACAGAAGCAACTTGCAGTTTCTCAACCAAAAAAAAAAGTACCCAGTCCTTTGTCCCCTGTATTTTGCTCATAACTATTTTCTATTTTGTGTTTGATGATGATATATGTGTTTCCCTATTGGAATGCAGTGCGCAGTTTTCCAAAATAATTAAATAATTAACAAAATGGCCAGCAAAAGGGATGGCAGAAGAAAGATTCGTTAGACCAGTGGTTCTCAACTTTCCTAATGCCATGACCCCTTATCATAGTTCCTCATGTTGTGGTGAGCCACCAAACATAAAATTATTTTCATTGCTACTTCATAACTGCAATTTTGCTAATGTTATCATAATGTAAATATCTGATATGCAGGATGTATTTTCATTCACTGGACCAAATTTGGCAAAAATACCCCATAAGCCCAAATTTGAATACAGGTGGGGTTGGGAGAGGGGCTGGATTTGTCATTTGGGAGTTGTAGTTGCTGGGATTGATAGTTCACCTACCACCAAAGAGCATTTTGAACTCCACCAACAATGGAATTGAATCAAATGTGGCACACAGAACTCCCATGACCAACAGAAAATACTGGAAGGGTTTGGTGGGCATTAACCTTGAGTTTTGGAGTTGTAGTTCACCTACATCGAGAGAGTGCTGTGGGCTCAAACAATGCTGGATCTGAACCAAACTTGGAACGGATACTCAATATGCCCAAATGTGAACTCTGGTGGAGTTTGGGGAAAATAGACCTTGACGTTTGGGAGTTGTAGTCAGGGGCGGCTCGTCCATTACGCGAAGTAAGCGGTCGCAGAACACTTTTTTTGCCAGGGGCGCAGAGGCGCCTCTGTAAATGCCCCTCAACCGCCACTTGAGGAGCGCCCCCTCAGCTCACAACAGCCCTAGCAGTCCGGGGGGAGCCTCGGCTTTCTTGCCTCGCTGCCGGGCGATCCTCTTCCCAAAGGGGCCGGGCCCTTGAGCCTCGCCTGGCCCCTCTTGTTCCTGCTCCACCCGGCCACCGGGTGCGCGAGCAGAGCCGGTGCTCAATCGTTCTCCGCGTTTGATCCCTTCCCCATGACCGGCTCCCTTTCCTGATCCCCTGGCGCTCCACCCGCCTCCTCTCCTCTCCCCAATCTGCGGGTGGTCCCAAATGGCTGAGGAGAAAGTCAGGAAAAGAGGTGACTTTTGGTGCACACGCCGGGGTCTTCAGGCACGCCTCCGGACCCAAAGTGGGTCAGGCAAGGGAGCAAGTGCGGCAAGTGTAGCTACTGGGATGTATAGTTCACCTACAATCAAAGAGCATTCTGAACTCCACCAATGATGGAATTGAACCAAATATGGCACACAGAACTCCCACGACGAACAGAAAATATATATCAATGATTGATTGGGGGGGGGGGGGCGCAAATACTGTTTGCTTACAATTGAAAATTACCTAGGGCCACCTCTGGCTTGTAGTTGCTGGGATTTATGGTTCACCTACAATCAAGGAGCATTCTGAACCTCACCAACGACAGAATTGGGCCAAACTTCTCTTAGAGAACCCCCATGACCAACAGAAAATACTGTATTTTGTAATGGTCTTTGGCGACCCCTCTGACATCATCTCATGACCCCCCCCCCCCCCCCCCCCCCCCCGGATCCCGACCCCCAGACTAGAAATTCCTACAGAAGTTTTCTTTCAGGTTAAAAATATAGCCATTTTTATTTAGGTTCTCCCACTTTTCCCGGAGGCCTGACCCAGTCAATCCCTTCTTCTCCAGACTGACCTGCGATCTGATCAAGTAGTGAATGGGCACGGGCTCCACAGGGCGAATAGAAGCCCACTGTGACCGGGGTGGAAGTATGGCATAATGTCTTGGAGAGGCTGCAGCAGTAAATGTCGTCTTCTGTCAAGATATCTGGGGAAAGAAAAACACATTCCATAAACCAAAGCCCAATTTAGTTGCAAATGGAGAAATACACAGTTCAGTGACCTGTTAGAAGCATCTTCCAAATATGTTGAACTGTAACTCTCATTGTGTATAAGAAAGATGTTTTCAATTGTCTAATCCAGGGGTCCTCAAACTAAGGCCCGGGGGGCTGGATGCGGCCCTCCAAGGTAATTTACCCGGCCCTCGCTCAGGGTCAACCTAAGTCTGAAATGACTTGAAAGCACACAACAATAACAACAATCCTATCTCATCAGCCAAAAGTAGGCCCACACTTCCCACTGAAATACTAATAATTTTATTTTTGTTGAAATCTTTCTTCATTTTAATTATTGTATTGTTTTTAAGTGTTTTTTGAACTACAAATAAGATATGTGCAGTGTGCATAGGAATTCATTCATGTTTTTTTTTCCAATTATAATCCGGCCCTCCAACAGTTTGAGGGACTGTGACCTGGCCCTCTGTTTAAAAAGTTTGAGGACCCCTGGTCTAATCAAATGTAAAGCTTTTATTCAGCTATAGTGGGCTTTAAAAATATTAAAGAAAAAGGCAGAATAAAACATACAAGCGAGTTTCTTTAGCTATATAAAGCTTCCAAAACTACACAACTATATACTATCCATTATTACTGCTGGGTACACATGCCCAGTGTGGAACACATCTCACCATGCTAATGAGACATGTCGCATTAGAGAGATGGGCCAAAACTAACAAAATGAAGTTCAACAGTGACAAATGCAAGATACTCCACTTTGGCAGGAAAAACGAAGTACAAAGATACAGAATGGGGGATGCCTGGCTCGAGAGCAGTACGTGTGAAAAAGATCTTGGAGTCCTCGTGGACAACAAGTTAAACATGAGCCAACAATGTGATGTGGCGGCAAAAAAAGCCAATGGGATTTTGGCCTGCATCAATAGGAGCGTAGTGTCTAGATCTAGGGAAGTAATGCTACCCCTCTATTCTGCTTTGGTTAGACCACACCTGGAATATTGTGTCCAATTCTGGGCACCACAATTCAAGAGAGATATTGACAAGCTGGAATGTGTCCAGAGGAGTGCGACTAAAATGATAAAAGGTCTGGAGAACAAGCCCTATGAGGAGCGGCTTAAGAAGCTGGGCATGTTTAGCCTGAAGAAGAGAAGGCTGAGAGGGGATATGATAGCCATGTATAAATATGTGAGAGGAAGCCACAGGGAGGAGGGAGCAAGCTTGTTTTCTGCCTCCCTGGAGACTAGGACGTGGAACAATGGCTTCAAACTACAAGAAAGGAGATTCCATCTGAACATGAGGAAGAACTTCCTGACTGTGAGAACCGTTCAGCAGTGGAACTCTCTGCCCCAGAGTGTGGTGGAGGCTCCTTCTTTGGAAGCTTTTAAACAGAGGCTGGATGGCCATCTGTCAGGGGTGATTTGAATGCAATATTCCTGCTTCTTGGCAGGGGGTGGACTGGATGGCCCATGAGGTCTCTTCCAACTCTTTGATTCTATGATTCTATGATTATCAGAGGATGTACACCACTGGGGAAATTTTATTGTTTAGCTGTTTTCGCACCATCTGACATCCACCGGGAAGTAGCAGCCAGTAATGAAAGGACCAAGTCTCCTCATAGGGCTTGTTCTCCAGACCCTTGATCATTTTAGTCGCCCTCCTCTGGACACATTCCAGTTTGTCAATAGCTCTCTTCAGTTGTGGTGCCCAGAATTGGAGACAATATTCCAGGTGTGGTCTAACCAAGGCAGAATGGAGGGGTAGCATGACTTCCCTGGATCTGGACACTACACTCCTATTTATGCAGGCCAAAATCCCATTGGCTTTTTTTTTTGCCACCGCAGCATATATTTTCATATTTCACATATGACAACTAGGACACATGGCCAAGCAACATCAGAGTTATTTGAAAAGAGAAACAAAATAGGAGAGGATGCAGCAGTTTGCTTTTGCTCGAGCGTACTGGGAATCCTACTTACTTTGACTGCATCTTTGGCACTTTGAACTCAGGGTTGTTGTAGGTTTTTTCGGGCTATATGGCCATGGTCTAGAGGCATTCTCTCCTGACGTTTCGCCTGCATCTATGGCAAGCATCCTCAGAGGTAGTGAGGTCTGTTGGAACTAGGAAAAAGGGTTTATATATCTGTGGAATGACCAGGGTGGGACAAAGGACTCTTGTCTGCTGGAGCTAGGTGTGAATGTTTCAACTGACCACCTTGATTAGCATATAATGGCTTGACAGTGCCTGGAGCAATATTTTGTTGAGAGGTGATTAGATGTCCTTGTTTGTTTCCTCTCTGCTGTTTTGCTGTTGTAATTTTAGAGTTTTTTTTAATACTGGTAGCCAGATTTTGTTCATTTTCATGGTTTCCTCCTTTCTGTTGAAATTGTCCACATGCTTGTGGATTTCAATGGCTTCTCTGTGTAGTCTGATAAGATGGTTGTGAGAGTGCTCCAGCATTTCTGTGTTCTCCAATAATATGCTGTGTCCAGGTTGGTTCATCAGGTGCTCTGCTATGGCTGACTTCTCTGGTTGAAGTAGTCTGCAGTGCCTTTCATGTTACTTGATTCGTGTTTGGGCAATGCTGCGTTTGGTGGTCCCTATGTAGACTTGTCCACAGCTGCATGGTATACGGTAGACTCCTGCAGAAGTGAGAGGATCCCTCTTGTCCTTTGCTGAATGTAGCATTTGTTGGATTTTCTTGGTGGGTCTGTAGATAGTTTGTATGTTGTGTTTCCTCATCAGCTTCCCTATGCGGCCAGTGGTTCCCTTGATATATGGCAAGAACACTTTCCCTCTGGGTGGATCTTCGTCTTTATTTTCGTGGCTTGTTCTTGGTCTTGCAGCTCTTCTGATGTCTGAGGTGGAGTCTCCATTGGTCTGGAGAGCCCAGTTGAGGTGGATCAGCCCGAAAAAACCTACAACAACCCAGTGATTCCGGCCATGAAAGCCTTCAACAATACTTTGAACTCAGTTTACAGCTATTGAAGTAAAATAGAATACAAAGATGAATGGATGAAAATGAAACCGGGAAACTTTAAAAGCAGCTGGAAAAGTGGGATGACAGAGGATTAACGGGGACGGCTCCTGACAGCTGGGTCAAAGAAGAGCAGACAACACCATCAGTCACTCTGTTTATATATTCAAGGGCTGAGGTGAGCTTCAAAGGGAGGGGGAAAGTCCCCGTCTTTGTTTTTCCTTGCAGTAAGACAGCATGAAGAATAACATAATAATTAGGTTGAGATAAGGTGGGTGGTGTTGAACATTCATCCGAAGCAAACAAACAATGAAAGAATGATTGAGCGTAGGATGTGGGCAGGTGACGTGGAGTTCAAAATCCAGTGGCAATACAGGTTGAGCATCCCTTATCCGGAAATCCTAAATCTTCTCCATGAGTGGCTGACATAGTAGGCTTCCCCTGTTTTCTGAGTTTTTAATACTGGTAGCCAGATTTTGTTCATTTTCATGGCTTCCTCCTTTCTGGGCCAGAAATCAGGGCCTGCTAACACCTCCCAATAAAAGATTTCCCCAGGCAGGAAGCAGCCAGGCTTCAGTGCTTCAAGGCCATTCCATGCTAATTAAGGTGGCCAATTACAATGGCTTCTTTCTGTAGTCTGAAATGGTAGTTGTTAGAACAAGGCAGTAAGAAGCCAGACCTTGAAACTGCTAGACCATTAAATACTAATTGAGGTGAACAGTAGTGCAATGTTCACACCTACCTCAAACAGATATGAGTTCTTTCTCCCGCCTTGGACATTCCCCATATATATAAACCCCATTTGCCTAGTTTCCAACAGACCTCACAACCTCTGAGCATGCCTGCCATAGATGTGGGCGACACATCAGGAGAGAATGCTTCTGGAACATGGCCATACAGCCCGGAAAACTCACAGCAATATTCTCTGACACCAAGTGATGATGATGATAAATTTCCTTGTTAGATCAAATAATAATTTGGCCAACGCACGAGAAATTATTGAAAATCCCAAGTAATGAGGTAGTATAAAAGTCATTCCCAAGTTCTCCAAAAAAATAAATTCATTATTGATGACAACACAGCTAGATTGAGTAATCAATCCTTAAGTTCCTTTCTTGAGTAACATAAACAGTGACATCAGTAATGAAAACAACAATTCAGCCTGTAACTTGATAACAATTACAGTTTCCACTCTGTTACGGCGAAAACAAATAGTCTTAAGGAACCTGAGAGATGGAAACGTATCAATTAGGACGTGGACTTTAATTATAAGTCACAAAGGAGATGAAAAAGGGAAAAGTTGTAACACAAAGGACCGATTAGTACAGGGTGGCAAGACTTTCAAATGAATGAAAGAACTATGTATTATTTAAACAAGGGTTGGAAGGAGGCAATTAGGTTCCCACTTACAGGCACTGTTTATGAGATGTAATAAAAATTATTATACCTTACAGTTAAACCTCATTACTTTGTATAATGTATGCTTTATTCTTTCTACGGAGCTGAAGGAAGTATTTAGGTCACATCCCTTTTTCTCAAGCCAGTGAAAACAAAGTCTCATGATTTTCCCATTCAATAACGAGATAGAGAAAATAATATGGAAAGCCATTCTTGTATAGTCTCCTAAGTATACGTCGTAACTAGTGATAGTCTAAGGCGGGCATGGGCAAACTTCAGCCATCCAGGTGTTTTGGACTTCAACTCCCATAATTCCTAACAGCTGGTAGATAAATAGGTACCGCTTTTAGGAGGAAGGTAATAAAAAGGCACCCATAAAGAATGTGCTGGAGATTCAATCGGAAAGACATCTATGGACAAAGAAACCTCCTCCGCATGGAAGATGGAGAGACAGCAAACCCTATGGCCGGAGTTGAGCACAGCCTCCAGATGCCGGAGATGGGAAAAGATGAGAAAACCTATACACTTCTGTTTATGTATTGTCTGTCCTTGTTAATTGTATAACAGCATTGAATGTTGGCCGTATATATGTTCTGTAATCCGCCCTGAGTCATCCTGGGGAGACAGAGCGGAATATAAACAAAGTATATTACTATATGTGTTTCCATTTTTAAAAATGTTTTATTTTCTTTCTTTCACTTTCCCTTGTTTCACCTTCCTTCCTTCCTTCCTTCCTTCCTTCCTTCCTTCCTTCCTTCCTTCCTTCCTTCCTTTCTTCCTTTCTTCCTTTCTTCCTTTCTCTTTCGTTCTTTTTTTCTTTCCTTCCTTCCTTCCTTCCTTCCTTCCTTCCTTCCTTCCTTCCTTCCTTTCCTTCCTTCCTTCCTTCCTTTCTCTTTCCTTTCCTTCCTTCCTTCCTTCCTTCCTTCCTTCCTTCCTTCCTTCCTTCCTTCCTTCCTTCTTTCTTTTCTTCCTTTCTTTCTTTCTTTCTTTCTTTCTTTCCTTCTTCCTTCCTTCCTTCCTTCCTTCCTTCCTTCCTTCCTTCCTCCTTCCTTCCTTCCTTCCTTCCTTCCTTCCTCTTTCCTTTCTTTCTTTCTTTCTTTCTTTCTTTCTTTCTTTCTTTCTTTCTTTCTTTCTTTCTTTCTTTCTTTTTCCTTTTTTCCTTTTCTACTGTCCCTCCCTGACTCCTCCCTCCTCTTTCTTTCTTTCTTTCCTTCTTTCTTTCTTTCTTTCTTTCTTTCTTTTCTTTCCTTTCCTTTTCTTTTTCTTTCTTTCTTTCTTGAATATTTGGTATGTTTTGCATTCTTGTATTAAACAATAATAATAATTTTGTTGTGTCAGGAGCAACTTGAGAAACTGCAAGTCGCTTCTGGTGTGAGAGAATTGGCTGTTTGCAAGGATGTTGCCCAGGGGATGCCCAGATGTTTTTGATGTTTTACCATCCTTGAGGGAGGCTTCTCTCATGTCCCCGCATGGGGAGCTGAAGCTGACAGAGGGAGCTCATCTGCGCTATCCCCGGATTCGAACCTTTGACCTGTCAGTCATCAGTCCTGCCAGCACAAGGGTTTAACCCACTGCACAACTGGGAGCTCCTACACTATGGCCCTCTGATCCACGCATTTAATATTTCTGCTTTCTTTGACTTACTCTAAAATAAATCCCACCACTTGAAATGTTTGTGGTTCTCTCTAGATCCTCCAGTGCAGTGGTTCCCAACCTATGGGTCATGAAAGGTTTTCTGTGGGGTCACCAGGCAGCAGTTGAAATAATGAACATTTTAAAAAGGGAAAACAAAAAAAATCACATCATTGTGTCTTGCACAGGATCTGCGGCACTATTCTGACATATCCAAATGTCACCATACTTGGCATTTCGAGTTTCACACCCCTTTGTTTCTACATATCTCAGTGAGAGCAGATTTTAAACGCTTCTTCAATTGCAAACCAAAACAAGAAACAGATTAAATCTTGAGAATGACATGGGGTGGCATTAACGAAAACTCAACCGTGAATTTTTAAGCTTCTTAATGAGTGCTATTTTAACCATCACATTACATATGTTGTGTTATACTGAAAAATCTACTTTCAATGTGTTTCCATTGACCTTATTAAAAGCCTATTTGTAATGTATTGGGGTAGGGAGTCACTTTGCCTTAATCAAATAGGGTTGCGATTCGGAAAAGGTTAGGAAACGCTGCTCGAGTGTGATCCTATAATATGCTTTTAGTCCAAGCATAGTCAAAATATATGGTTTGTTATCATCCATGTTTTCAGGTATCCATGGGATGGTGGTGGTCTTGAAACATATCCCATATGAATGTAGGAATTGTACTGTATAGTGTTTTTTAAAAAAGACTTGGTGTGAAAGTATTTCTTTTATCTCCTTTGTCCAGATAGCTCTGAAAACGAGTTCTTTCCTTGCAAATCCATCATAATACAGCTCTAGAAGAGAGCTGAATAGCCACTCTTCCCATTGTATGACTATATTCTATGATATTTCGCATGTGCAGTGTTCTATCGCTCCTTTGCAGTTTGCTTTTTGTGGACTCGCTGTTTCGCGGGTTTTTGCCTCCCAGTTTGTGAATGGTTGCCATTGCCCAGAGCAGCGTTCTAATCCTGCCTCCTGGGAACGATGGAGTGTGGAAGGGGTCTTGCCCTCCCCCTTGGGAGAGAGGCAGCCAATTAAGAGAGATTGCAAAGCAAAGCAGAGATAGGTAGCAAAATTAAAAAGGTGCGCAGTTCCTTTACATCTCTCCTCGCTTCTGCCTCACCCTAGGAACGCGATATACATATATAGAATCATAGAGTTGGAAGAGATCTCATGGGCCATCCAGTCCAGCCCCCTGCCAAGAAGCAGGAATATTGCATTCAAAGCACCCCCAACAGATGGCCATCTGTCCAGCCTCTGTTTAAAAGCTTCCAAAGAAGGAGCCTCCACCACACTCCGGAGCAGAAAGTTCCACTGCTGAACATTACAACTCTCACAGTCAGGAAGTTCTTCCTTATGTTCAGATGGAATCTCCTTTCCTGTAGTTTGAAGTCATTGTTCCGCATCCTAGTCTCCAGGGCAGCAGAAAACAATCTTGCTCCCTCCTCCCTATGACTTCCTCTCACATATTTATACATGGCTATCATGTCTCCTCTCAGCTTTCTCTTCTGAAGGCTAAACATGCCCAGCTCTTTAAGCCGCTCCTCATAGGGCTTGTTCTCCAGACCTTTGATCATTTTAGTCACCCTCCTCTAGACACATTCCAGCTTGTCAATATCTGTCTTCAATTGTGGTGCCCAAAACTGGACACAATATTCCAGGTGTGGTCTGACCAAGCGTCCCTACTTTGTGGATTTTCACTTTTCGCGGGTGGTCCTGGAACGTAACACCCACGATAAGTGAGGGAACACTGTATATCTTACCGCACTGCCACGGATTTATTTATTTATTTATTTCAGATATTTGTACCCTGCCCTTCTCAACCCCCCCCCCCCTCCGAACCTCTTCATCCCTAACCGGGTTTACTCCTTCAAACTTCTTCATCCCTAATCTCTTTCAAAATCCTCTCCCAGTGTTGTGTTATTGTATGATTTCGCTGTCTCGCAAGAAAACACCATGTCATGTTTTCAGGCCTCCGCATTTACTAATTTGTAGTCTTGGATCCGTGCGACCAATCTTACCGTTTCTATTGAGGCCTTCCTCATTTGGGATGCGGTCAAACTCTCTTGAGCATATGCACCGGGCATCATGGTTTTCCTCGCTAGAATGCAACCGCGTGATCTCCTCATCGGTAGGACTCATCAGCACCGGCACCGGGCCACCTTCGACAAGAGTTCCCAAGCAGGTGGGACCCTACAAGAGGAGAAAACACATAAACAAGCACAGTCTTCTCCATCACTGGTGAGATTTGACAGCTCCACTTCCCATGACACCAAATTTGTATTTCATAGACATCTCCGTACGGCTGTAACCCACCCCCTGTTCCCCATCTCAAACTTCATATCATGCTGTCAGAGAGCCAAACAAAACAGGTACCTTTTTTCTCGAGTGGCGAAGAAACAGAAGTGACAGCCAAACTTCCTCGGCCGAGCCAAGGTAAAAACGAAAACATCCCAAACCTGAGAGGTGTGGCAAATTCAAACGAGTTTGAAATCTGGGTCTGCATACCAACGTGAGTAATATGCAGGACAAATATTTCAACCACTTGAGGAAGATAATGACTCGGTGGCGTATCGAATGGGTGTTGCCTGGATCTTAAAGAGCCGGGAATGCTACAAAGGCGGACTGATTCAGAGAGGCTGAAAGTCTTTCTGCACCTTGAGTGCGAGTTGAATTACATGGAATGAATAATCCTCTGCTGTCCTAAAAAGTTTTACAACTATCCCAATTTCTCTCTCTTTCTACCACTTGTCCTTGGCTTATATCAATAATAATAATAATAATAGTAATAACTATATTTATACCCTGCCACCATCTCCCCAAGGGGACTCGGGGCAGCTTACATGAGGCCAAGCCCAACAATACAGCCATGCAAATAAACAACATATAATGAAAATAAAATATAAAAATAAAATACAAGAAACAATATACTATATATACTCAGGTAAAGGTAAAGGTTGCCCCCTGACATTAAGTCCAGTCATGTCTGACTCTGGGGTGTGGTGCTCATCTCCATTTCTAAGCCGAAGAGCCAGCGTTGTCCATAGACACCTCCAAGGTCATGTGGCCAGCATGACCGCATGGAGCGCCGTTACCTTCCCGCCAGAGCGGTACCTATTGATCTACTCACATTTTCATGTTTTTGAACTGCTAGGTTGGCAGAAGCTAGGGCTGACAGCGGAAGCTCATGCCGCTCCCTGGAATCAAACCTGCGACCATTTGGTCAACAAGCTCAGCAGCTCAGTGCTTTAACCCACTGCGCCACCGGGGACCCCCGTATATACTCAAGTATAAGCCTAATTTTTCAACCCTTGTTTTAGGCTGAAAAAGTCCCCCTCGGTTTATACTCGAGTCAAGGTCATTTATTATTATTATTATTATTATTATTATTATTATTATTATTATTATTGCATTTATTATTTTACTCTATTATTATTATTATTATAGTTACCATTTTACTTTATTATTATTACATTTATTATTTTATTTTATAAGTGTTATCATTAAATTTGTTATTTTACTCTATGATTGTTATTATTACATTTATTATTTCACTCTATATTATTATTATTCCATTTCTTATTTTCCTTTATTATTATTGGAAGGATACATAAGTACATTTACATTGAAGGTTAGGGCAGTCTTATCTTAAATTACAATTTTATATAAATATTCAAAAACATTTAACCTACTGATGCCTCAATTAATGTAATTTTATTGGTATCTATTTTCATTTTGAAATGTACCAGAATTTCTCACCCTCGGCTTATACTTGAGTCAATCCATTTTCCCAGTTTTTGTGGTAAAATTAAGTAACTCGGCTTATATTTGGGTCGGCTTATACTCGAGTATATACGGTAAATAAGCACATCAAACAATGTAAAATCACAATAACTTAAACACAGAAAATAAATCACAGTGGGCAGGGCCAGTAGCAAGGATTAAAAAGTTTAAAATGCTTGAAAATGAGGGGTTTTTTTGTGTGTCAGGAGCGACTTGAGAAACTGCAAGTTGCTCCTGGTGTGAGAGAATTGGCTGTCTGTAAGGACGTTGCCCAGGGGATGCCTGGATGTTTTCAATATTTTACCATCCTTGTGGGAGGCTTCTCTCATGTCCCCGCTTGGGGAGCTGGAGCTGACAGAGGGAGCTCATCCGCACTCCCCCCAGATTCGAACCTCCGACCTGTCAGTCTTCAGTCTTGCCAGCACAAGGGTTTAACCCATTGTGCCACTGGGGACTCCTTGCAAACCGAGTTCTAAGTGCCAAAGCAATTTTGGAGCTCAGCAAAAGGAGAGGAAGGGAATCTGGCAAAAGTAAACAGCTGTACCCTCTTCAGCTTTGTTAGCTGTTCAGCATTAATTACTTTGGCAGCCTGGACCATGTGCCAAGGCTCTGTGATTCTCATTTTAAATAGGCTGCAAGCCCTTCTTGCACCATTAAATGCTTAATGTATCTTTTTCAATGCAATTGATGGAGTTCTACATTCATTTATTTTAATTTTTAGTAGCAGTTCCAGGGGTCAACAATTCTTTCCCTATTTTGCCAAGCTCTGAAGTTGAGGGGAAATGTTATTTTTGTAATATACTAAAACACTGTTGGGGCTGCCTTGGAGCAGCGGGTTAAACCACTTAGCTGCTAAACTTGCTGACTGGAAGGTCAGCAGTTCAAATCCACGAGACAGAGTGAGCTCCCGTTGTTAACCCCAGCTTCTGCCAACCTCGCAGTTTGAAAACATGCAAATGTGAGTAGAACAATAGGTACCACTTCAGTGGGAAGGTAAAAGCGCTCCATGCAGTCATGCCGGCCACATGACCTTGGAGGTGTCTATGGATAATCCCGGTTCTTTGGCTTAGAATTGGAGATGAGCACCACCCACCAGAGTCGGACCCAACTAGACTTAATGTCAAGGGGAAACCTTTATTTTTTAAGTACTGTTTCTCTACTTTTGGTCCTCTAGCTATCCTTGACTTCAGGTCTAATGATTTTAAACAATTGGATGCACTTCTAGGTTTTCTATGAATTAGCGTTCAATGCATATGGAGGACCAAAGCTGGGAAATCATGGCACTTTAACTTTCAAGGGGAAAAACCTGCGTAACGCGACTGAAATATTAGGAATTTAAAAAATAATAATAATTCGAGGCAAACGGCGTTTGAATAAAGACATTTACTATGGTATAGTTTTGCATGACGGCAATTCCTTAGGGAAGTTTGAAATGAATTGTTCCAGGCAGGAACTTGGGAGAAGCCAAGGCCTGAATTTGCATTCCTGTAATAACTTATCCAAATCCGCCCAGGCATTCACTGAAAAGCCAAAAGAACAAAGAGGAACTCTGGCACATTCTGAGAAACTGCAACAAAACTATGTCAGTGTTGTTTTAACAACAGAAACAACAGAGCGGGAAATGATTTGGAGAATGAGAGATTGTTAATGTTTGTGAAGCTACTTGGAGGGTTGGGATCATTATTTCTTTCCAACACCTCTATTGGGTTGCTGTGAGTTTTCTGGGCTGTATGGCCATGGTCCAGAAGCATTCTCTCCTGACGCTTCACCCACATTTATGGCAGGCATCCTCAGAGGTTGTGAGGTCTGTTGGAAACTAGACAAGTAGGGTTTATATATCTGTGACAACCTCACTTGCCTAGTTTCCAACAGACTTCACAACCTCTGAGGATACCTGCCATAGATGTGGGTGAAACATCAGGAGAGAATGCTTCTGGAACATAGCCATACAGCCTGGAACACTCACAGCAATCCAGTGATTCCAGCCTTGAAAGCCTTCGACAATGCCTCTATTGTTACAGGTTGAACCTCCCTACTCCAAAATACTTGAGACCATAGAATTTGGGATTTTTAATTTAAAAAAAAAAATTGCATATACATAATAAGATGTCATGGAGATGGAACTGAAGTCTAAACCCATTTGTGTTTCATATACAACTCATACACATCGCCCAAAGGTCATTATATATTTTTATGATTTTCTGTCTCACAAATAATGTTTGTGGATATGAAACCATCAGAAAGCAAAGATGTCACTTTCTCAGTCACCAGATGTTTTGGCCTTCAACTTCTAGAAGTCCCAGTTATAAGGCATGCTTGGAGTTGTAGTCTAAACATCTGGAGCACATGACGTTCCTAACCTTTTCTTTAGACCAGTGATTACCAAACTCTAATCCTCTAGGTCAGTGGTTCCCAACCTTTTTTGACCAGGGACCATTGACCAGTGACTACTTAGACCAAGGACCACTTGAATAGGGACCACTTTGACCTGGGACCACTCTCCAACATTAGTACCAAAAGGATTACGAATCAGTTTTTGGTAAACTTTAGATTCAGTTTGGTTATTTGGGGTGCTGATTCAGAAGACTGCATTGGATAGACCACATCAGCTCTAGTTTCTGATACAGAACATATACCATCCAGTAGTTGCCATCTGCTTGCCCACAGAAAACCATATTTAATAATCTAGAGCTGATGTGGTAGTAGTACTCTTTCATGGGTAGTCAGCCTCTCCCCTCCCAACATCCCCATTGTGGGGGTTTCACAAGACCAGTCGCTCTCATTACCATGTGGTTTTGAGGTGTAATCATGGTGAGGCCACGGACCATATTTTCATTCTTGTGGACCATTGCTGGTCCACAGACCATAGGTTGGGAACCACTGCTCTAGGTTTTGGGGACTTCAAGTCCTAGAAGATTCAGTTGTCTTGGACAATGATTAGGGATTCTGGGAGCTGAAGTTCAAAACAGCAGGGATACCAAAGTTTGGTAAACATTGCTTTAGAAAATAGCATTTTGTTTGTTCGTGTTGTCACCAGTGAAGTACAAACACCATCATGCAGATGAACCTACAGCATGATTCAAAAAACAAGTCAGAAACCATGGAATGCTTGAGTGAGAAGACATGATATACCTGAATTTCAGGGAAGGATAGGATAGTATACTGCATATAGGGTGGCAATGTGAGCCCAAGCCTTGCCTACTAATGGCCAAATCTGCAAACTTCTGGAGTTCTGGTCTTCCCCTTTCCCCAGGCTCTTCTTCCTAGGGTTGGCTTCCTTTCCAGGCCTTCGAGTCTTACGGAGTTTTGCGGAGATCTGTTTATTCACAAAGGCACATAGTTCTTTTGAGAAAGACGATGGGCAGCATATGGAAACAAGCAAAGGCTAAATAAAAAAACGGAGGTGTAATGTGTCCCTCCATGGCATTTTGGTGGTAGCCCTCCAAAAGGATGTTGAGATGTCACCTTATCTACCATTCTTGGTGCATCTACTCAGTAGAATTAGTGACACTGCTTTTGCTACTGTGAGCCAAAGCTATTGAATAATGGGAAATGTAGTTTGGTGAGCAGCACTAGCACTGGGTTGTTGTAGGTTTTTTTGGGCTGTATGGCCATGGTCTAGAGGCATTCTCTCCTGATGTTTCGCCTGCATCTATGGCAAGCATCCTCAGAGGTAGTGAGGTCTGTTGGAACTAGGAAAAAGAGTCCTTTGTCCCACCTGGTCATTCCACAGATATATAAACCCTTTTTTCCTAGTTCCAACAGACCTCACTACCTCTGAGGATGCTTGCCATAGATG